AATTCCATTTCTTCATGAAAAAGAAAAATGCTTTCTTGTTTGTTGTCTGTCTTTCCTCTCCGGATTGTTCCAAATCCCCATTCAGCTTGCTGCTGCCAGTGACAGCATTACCAGCCTAAGCTCAGAAGCATCTCTGCATGCTGCATTCTGCAAGCTAATCGCCACTGCCATTAGCATATCTTTGGTAATAATTCTGTCAATAATCAGTTTATGTGGGACTGCTGCGGAGGTTATGTTCCCAAGTTTACAAGACTGGAATTGAAAGGAAACAGCAGGAGCAGATGAAGAAGGAAGGCTGTGTTCCGGAGGATAATATAACACTTCTGAGCTAGAAATAAATATAATGTACAAAAATGATTTTAAAAGATCGTAGAAAATTTGAGAATGCTGTGAACAAGGTCAAACAGCTTAGTTATTTATAAATTGTTTATCAAATACTGGGAAGGATCGTGCATTTATGCTGCTTTTGTTCACCCAGCAAAGTGTGTATTTAGATTAATTTATTTTCACAACATTATGCAGAAACCACCTTGATTTTGTGTGTGTGTGTTAATTAATCACATAGTGCGACCTGGTTACAGGATCCCCAGGTCTTAAAATCACTGCTTATCTGCAGCTTTTCGTCCCTAAGGATTTTCTGCAGGGATTTGCACTCAGATCAGGTAGAACTGAAGTCTTTGAAGATTGCTTTAGAACGGAACTTTAGTTTTTGTCCATATTGAAATGAGTTTTATGCTTAAAGCAAATTCAACACCCTATTTTTTTATTATTGAAAATTAGCAGTAATTTGCATAATTTAAAAATGAAGGAGCATATATAAGAGCAACTCTTTTTTTTTTTTTTTTTTTTTTTTTTTGATACTTAGGGATTTGTTATTCCAGTATTGACTGGAAAGCCAGCAATATAATTATATTCACTGTTTGTGTTTTTATTGCCACTATCACAGGATATTTCAGCGAAAATTCTTGAATATTATTCCTAGGCAGCCTCTTTAATTACATTCCATCTAGTTAGATGCTGTTCTGTTGCAGGGGATGGTGTTTTTGGCAATAAAGGCAGAAAACAAAGTAGACTCAGGTGGCCACAGGATTATTAAACAGATTCAACACGTTGACGGTGCCAAGTGGGTAGCTGGAAACTCTTCCCTCTCTAGATTTGCCTGCTCACAGCCAGAAGTTCCTTGTACAAGTTTCTTGTACAGTTTCAGATACCCTCTGAAACTGGTGTTCGTAGGATAAATGCATCCTCTTCTTAGGATAAATGCATCCCTTTCCAAATGACTGCTTTCCATAGTTTTTTGAGTCTGTTGTCTACATTTTCTAGGGATGTGGTTACCTTTATCTTGTCCCTGATAAATCTGATTAGAAGTCACTTACTTGAGTATTTTATACATTTTTAACTTGTTCACAGCAATACTGAAAAAGTAAAAGAAAATAATTTAAACAGGGCATGTGGTTATAAACCCCCCAAAGTAGCAGCACTGCCGAGATGCTGTATGGTATATTAAGCTGTAGTATTGTCCTTTAGGATTCTCTTATAGCTTATATCCTGAGTAAACTTCCCTTGATCATAATGTTGATCTCGAGAAAATAATTTCTGCTCTGAGTTAGGAACCACAAGGGGTCAGTAAAGAACACGGAATAGCAGCCAGAGCAACAAGCTGGCTGTAGCAAAAGTCCTGAAGGACATGATACGGTGCAAATTGTTGCACCTATATGTATTTGTAAAGATCCAAACCTGTTACATGAAACAGCTGTTTTGATAAAATTCACTGTAAGTTTTTCATACAGCCCTTTGTACAAGTCTCTTTACCTGGCACTGATGATCATTTTTCCCCAGTCAAAATATTTAGGAGCTTGCAGCTGTAGGCGTGAGTTCTGCCTCTGCCCTCCTTGGTACTGCTCAGGTTACCTCTGCCTGTGGGTGATATCCGTGATTCCCAGCCCTCTGCCTGCCTCCTGCCATGATTTCTGTGCTGGGGGACACGCACAGGGCTGGCAACCCCTGAGTCACGGAGTAAAACCATCTCAGTGCAGGCTTGTGAACCTGCAGGGCATTAGAAGAGGCACTGCTTACCATGAGCAGTGCCGATGGAGAATTAGGCAAAATAACTCGATTTTAGTGATCACACAGCAGCCTTTGTGGGACACGGTGCTATCTCTTCTGTTATTTGTAACCCAGGTCATTGATCTACACTCTGATATCATCATTCCAGAACGTTGCAGCATGTGGGTGGGCTTCAGCAGTGGGTTTCCTGTCCTCTTGGTCAGGCTTTCAGCAAAAAGGCATTCTGAATCCTCTTCACATATGGCCAAAAAAAAAAAATAATAATAATAATAATTAAAAAAAAATAGGCAAATCCTTTAAATAAATTTTCTCTTAGTAACCTAAAGGGTAAATATGACACAAGCTTAAGGGGGGTAGGGAGGAAATGGGGAGAAAGTAAACAAAGGATGCAAAGTAGTCCATATTAAACCCTGAGTCTTATTTACACACACCCCCATTTATATTTTTATGAAACATCCTATTTGCATGTGCCTTTCTACTAGCAATGGGAATTACAAGAATTTTTAAAGCTTTTTTATTCAATGTTTATAGAAGTAAAAATTCATTTTACTTAATTTTTTATATATGGTGTTTTTATTTCTTAGCACCTGGTACTGGCTGTGGTGTCCTTGCTAGGCACATAAGTACGGGTGTATGCATCCACTAGCACAATACATTTCTGTAATTTAGTTTGTTTAGCTCAGGAACAAAGATGAATCGGCGAGAATGCCCAGTAGGATGGGAGAAGCCAGCACTGGGTTGCCTCACTCTTCAGAAGCATTTGTTAAGCCACAGAAAGAAGCGCGAGAGCCAGACACTGTGTCTGCTGTGCTGTTCCTCAGGCAGTGCAGTGCAAAACTATCTCCCTAGGTTGCTGAGCACACGTTTCATAGGCAGACAGGAAAAATGGTGAGGGAAGTTCCCTGTGTCCTTCCTGACCTGACAGCAAGATCAAGAGCTCAGGCTGGATCGGGAGATAACTGATGCCATCCCCTCGCTGGTTAGAGCTGCTGGGCTGCTAAACCATCCCGAGCCCAGGCTGTAACTTTCTCTTTTCTGGGTTGTTTCCATGGCTACAAAACTCTCTGCTAATGAGTTATAAGCTGGCATTAAGTTACGTTATTGAGTTTAAAACTCAGTCTGGTGAAGTATTAGGCCTTGCTGGAGCTTAGAAACGAACTCTTCTCATTTCAAGTTATCACCATCCTGACAATTAAGTCGTATAAAGTAGGAAATTGATAGCCCTTCACAACATCTATAATTACATGGAATTGGAAATGCAATAATATAAGAAACAAGCTGCCACAATGATGGAGCACATTTCACTGAGGAGAAGGTTTTTTTCCTCCAGATTGTGACTTGAAATTTATTGGCTTTATTTAGTTTATTAAAGGCTTGCTAATGGCTCAACTTGTTAGGCTGATCAAAATCCCCACCGAGTTTTCATGACTTGAAACCCTAAGAGGGCTTTTTGTCCTTCCCTGCGTTTCTGATCAACTATTTCAGTTTCTCCTTTCTACATCCCAAGCGTGAGCTTTGCATTTCTCTCAGTGACATCTCTGAGCATCTGCTCGAGATTGGAGCTGCTCCGATGCTTCTTGCACTGAGTCCAGGGGGCATCAGGCGTGAGTGGGCATCGGCTGCCACAGTGACACCTAAACAGGAGGGTCCGGCTGCTCCTTCCCTTGCTTCTCACCAGTTGCTGCTCCGCATCTGGAAGTGATGTGCTGAAGCAGAAGGTTACCCACGGCCCTGCAATGGTTTTGGGCTAACCTCAGAATTAGGAAAGGAGACAGTGGGAACAAGGCGGGCTAGCCTGAGACAAGTTGTTATCTGAAGAGCGTGCTGGGGTCTAGTGAGGAGCTGGTGAAGCCTCACTGCAGGGTGAGAGGCAGGGATTTTGTCAGAGTTTTACAGAGGGATTGAATCATGATAAGAGAACGTTCCTGCTTGGCTGATCTCAAGAAAGCTTTGGGACCCCAGATAAAGCCTGCGGCGAGCCTGGTCAGTCAATCATTAGACTGCTGGCCTGTCAAAATTGTGATTTTTTGTGATGGAGGCTGACGAGAGTGCTGCTCTCTGATGCAGCATCACTCATGTGCTGTTGACAGCTGAAGATGGCAGACCAGCGTGTGCTAGGTGGGCTCTGCAGTCGAGGAGGGGAGACGAGGCTGGTGTGTGGCAAGCAGCAGCGATGCCGGCCTCCAGGAGGCTCAGGTGCTGGCAGCAAGGCTCTCCATTTCTTCTCCCAGTAGGTGTCAGTGGAGCCAACAAGTAGCAGATGAAACGTGGCCATAGGGGTGCTGTTTCCAAACAGAAGTGGCGTGTACTCAATGTCTACGTACCTCCCCACAAGCAACATGAATTCGGCATTGTCGTTAAATATTTTTTTTTGTTTACCTCTTTCTCCTCTTGAAAACCTGTTACCAGTAGATCTCCCCACCGGGCATCCGGGAACTTGCTCAGAGCAAGTTGCCGTGACAACCACGAAATACATCCTCGGTGCCCTGCGTGCTGCAGGGCCTTGTGGCAGCTGGAACGTGTTGTCATGGGGAACGATGTGGCCTTGCCCTTCTGCAGCTGCGCAGGGAGGGCGGCGGGGGCTGGCAGCAAGATTTGGCAGTTTTGGAAGCCAGCATTGAAAAGACTCGATGAGAACATAGCGCGACTGAAAGCTGAGTGCACTGATGGATTACTGTTCCCTAAACCACTTCTGTGCTTCACACTTCTCAGTAGGTTTTGGAGAACAGCTATTCATATAAATTAAAAAACAATTTTTCCACAAAGAATTTATTTTAAAAGAGCATTTTTTACTACAGAACCTGAGCTGTCTTATCTAGAAAGCACGTACCGAGTCTGAAGAGACTCTCCAATGTAACACTCTGTAACTTCTATAAAACTCCCTAAAGAAGTGCATTTGGGCTGAATAGATAACGTCTCACCTGTGGTTTCAGGGCAAAAGAACTGGCCGAGATAAGGTGCGTCCAAGCCAAAGAAGTAAGATGATGTGCATGTCTTGTTTTCTTTTAAGATTAACTCTTCTGCTCCCAGTGCAAACTAATTTATCTTTAACGTGCCTTTATTCTGGTTTGTTTGCTGCAAGCTGACTTGGTTGTGAAAATGCTGTGCTTTTATCAAAAGTAGTTTACAGTGTGCTGGGAGAGTTTGTGGACAAATTTAAGTAAGCAAAGGCATTCCTGCTATTGTAAAAAACCCTAATATATATAATCAATAAAACAGTTTAAATTGTGGTACTCATAACTCTATAAAGGATGAGTAAGTCCCAAAATAATATGGAGCATTTAAGTAACTTTGTAAAAATTGCTTTTTATGAAATATGCTTCTCTCTAAGACAGCAACCAGTAGGTTGTGATCCCAGTTCGCTCTTCCTCCTTTCACATCTACCTCTTCCATCCGTTCCAGCTGTTTGCCGCATCATTCCTTTTTTTCCAGCTGTATCTGACTGTAAGAAAACCTGCTCCCATTCGAGAAACTGGGTGTAAACACCTGAGAAAAAAAATACATTGCTTGAGCTGTTTGTAAGACCAGAGTTTGAAGAGGAAACAATGGATCTGTGCAAGATCCAGAAAGATCTGGACAGCATTTCACAATGTCAGCTTTAGGGAACAAGGTCTGTGGTATCGTATCTGGGGCCTTCCTCTCTGCGTGGCTCAGGTCCCAGTGCCCTGCTCTTCAGCTGTGCGTTCCTAAGGCTCTGCACCACAAATTGCTCTCCTTACGCACAGTTTATCTATCAAACAGAGCCCTGGGTCTCTTTATTCCTCTGTGGTTAGCACTGTTGAAACAGCATTTCCCAGAGCTCTGGAAAACATTTCTATCCAATATCTGTCCTATTTTCGGTGCTTAAATTGGCCTTAACAAAGCATAAGCCTCAAACAGATTTTCTTCCTTTCCAATATATAGTAAAGTTATTCATCATGGGCAACCCTGGATGCAGAGGTAATGGTGAAAGAAATGGTGTGTGGTTTTACGTTTCATTTATGCAAATTAAAATACATTGTGCTTCTCACTGGGACTGTATTTTAACAACAGTTTTGGTTTGTAGCTCCACATCTGAAGTAAAAAGAAAGATTGTTTCTCATATGAAGAAACAATGACCTCACATGTTAAGGTATGCAAGAAGCTGGAGAAAAGTGTTTTTCTAGTGAAATGTATTTTCAGCGAGTTATTTCCCATGTGGCTCATACCAAGAGATTAGCATGGCTTTATGTGAAGAAAGTTTGTACGTACATGGTTATCCCATTGTATATAGCACCATTAAACAACTCCAATCAGCACAGCCAACAAAATGTTCAACTAGGGGGTGAGATGAAGGCACGGGCAGATGGTGGAAACCCTTCAGGAATAGCTACAGCAATGGGGGCAGGTGAGGTCTTCTCCAGGTTCTCTCCTCAATTCTTTACTAAACCTGTAAGCAAATGATTGTTTCCCAGTACCTCCACCCAATGCTCACATTAGGGCACAACATTTGTTTGTAGACTTTTAGGCAAAACAATATTGGTATTTGAAGAAATTTTCCTAATCCTTTAGTCATAACCAGAAATCATTAGATGAGTTTCTGAAGTACTTTTGTCTTGACCCATATTCTGGGTAAGGTTCTGCAAAAAGTCAAGGTTAAAGTAAAAAAACTTGGTCGCACAGGTGGGATCTGTAATGACTAGACTGTGCTTATCTGATTTTGTTTGAATGCCCACAGTCTACTTTTGTTCCAGTAACTCTGGAAATTTTTGTAAATAGTACTAAGAGGAAGATAAAATGATATGCCTGTGGCAAAGTGTTAACTGAAGCATTTTGTGGTGGTATTTTGGGAAGCTCTCAATGGATCATCTGTAAAACGTTTTGTCTGGGATGAGTATTGTTTCCTATTTTTCTTTCGCTACTTGTTTACCAGCTTTGAAACTCCCACTATGCTTTCACTAGGACCTTAAGCCAAAAAGCTCTAAAAGGAATTCACATGGTAGCTGTGAAAACAGGTTTTGTTCATGCTCATGAACGGATGGTCAGTGGCCTGTCTGAAGGGATGTGGACCTTTGGTAAGGTGACGGCAATTTGATCAGGTCCTTAGGCCATTCCGTTTGGGTCCATGTGCTTTCTTTGGGTCAGTCTGGTCACTCTTGAGCATTTCATGGGTACCATTTTCCTGTTTTCTCATGTACAGTTTGCAGCAGGGTTCTCTGTTTGCTCTGGGATGCAGCTGTGCTTTGGATTGTCTTTCTAACAAGGCTCGTTCCTTGAGCGGGCCAAAATTCTCAGCAGGATGCCGAAGGCACATGCTCAGGAGAAGGTCTGTACAGTGCAGCACGTCAAGCTGTGAGTGAGCTCCTCCTGCCTTCAGTGAACAGAGGCAGTACTTGGGGGCTAACGAGGCAGCACTTGGGCTAACGAGGCAGCTGAGGCTGGTGGCACAACGGCGGGATTGCCAGCTTCCCGCAGTGCAGGCCGCAGCCGCCTTGTGCTCTGGTGAGTGCAGAGAGGCCTTTGCTTGGTTCTCCAGTATTATTTTAGGATGCTGCCTTCGCATCCTGGCACTTTCATCCTCCGTGGCCTTAATTGGGGTGAGCTGCAGCTCCCTGGGAAAGCACAGGTCACACCGAGCCCCAGGGAGCAGTGCTCGAGGATGGACGAACAGAGCGAGCAGCCTCGGAACAGAACTCCCTTTGTGGTTCTGAGTGGCACATTTTTCAAACAGGCTGCCCAGTTGGTTTAAAGTATAAGGAATAAAACTAGCATTTTCCAGTCAGTGCCTGATTTAGATCTCTTGCTTGGTGGCAAAGCGGATATTGAAATTTCTTCTCGTATCACAAGAACAAGAACTTTTATCTGATATCACATATGTGAGAGTCACAAAAACATGTCCAGCAAAGCTGCTTGTTTAAACCATTTCTTCATCTTGTAAAAATACAGGATATTAGGATTTTTTGTTTGTTTTGTTTTTTACTTCATTTACTTAAGGCTCAGTCTTACACAGGTCTTGCATGAGTCTTAAGGCCTTGAAAGGCAAAAAGCTCCATTAAAGCCCCTGGATTTGCACCAATAGCAGCACCTGCCAAGGGACAATGCCTTGCAGAATCAGGAATCTAGGCTGATGCTCAGGACTTGCTCTTCCTAAATGTTTGTGCAGTCCCCCATCCTGACTGGCATCTCCAGGTGCTGCTTTCATGCACTCAAATATTAATGATGGTGGAAGGAATTCCATGATTTAAGCTGTACTACAAAAAAAAAAAAAAAAAAAAAAAAAAAAGGAAAAAAAGGTCTAAACTGCTAAAACCCATATTCATATGGCCAGTAGAAGATTTTCTGCACCTATGAATCCTAATATGCTCTTGCAGATGTGGTTAGTTTATGCAAGGGTTACTTGACATGCCTGCTCGCAGCAGTAGAGGGCTGGAGTCTCTGAATCAAGCCATCCCTTCCAACGTTAAGCTTCTAAACTTGTCTGGAGAAGGGAAAGTTTGTATTTTCCAGTTTCCAGTGAAGCTGCAAAAGTTATATGTCAGGCCAAGCTTTTAAGGTGATTTATTGTGTGACACTTTGATACACTTTGATTTCTAGATTTATTTTTTTTATCTGTAAAATGGATAATATGCAACTACTGTCCTTTTATGGCATAGTGAGAAAAGTAGTTATCCTTAAATGTCAAGCATATGTCAATGGCACAAAATAAATTAACTATATTAGAGATTATTTACATGCGAACTCATTAGATTCTTGGGGGAAAGCACTTATATCCCAAAGTAATACTATTATTAAACATTCATGGCTTTGCTCCTGCTGGTATGTGGGATAAGTTTGAGAAAAAGAGGGATATTGTGTTCTAGCCCGCATTATCTTTTGGTGAGTCTTACTTTTTTCGCTTTTGTTAACTTCAAGATTTGAAATGCAACTTACCTGAGCAACTATACGGTGTCTCATGTGAAATACTGAGACTGCTGCAACCTTCTACGAACCAGACTGTCTTGCCAAGACAGAACCTTTGAATGAAATAGAATCATAGACTGGTTCAGGTTGGAAGGACCCTACAGCCCATTATTCCACCCCCCTGCCATAGGCAAGGATGCCTCCCACCAGCCCAGGCTGTCCAAAGCCCCCTCCAGCCTGGCCTTGGGCACCTCCAGGGATGGGGCACCTTCAGCTTCCCTTCCTCCCTTTTCCAGATCAACGCTTGATTGAAAATCAAAGTTGATTGTAATGCTAATTTGAAAGTGCCCATGTTCATCTGCATTAATTCTTTTCTCTCTTTTTTTTTTTTTAAGCAGGTTATTTTTTTTAATGCATGTCAAAGATTTCCTAACTCTTGCTATGCAGAGTGTCTTTAAGAATTATATTTTAAAAGAGAACGTGCTGAAGAGAGTGTTTATATCTAGAATACCTTATGTAGATTATAGCATGAAATCTTTGAAGAGCATTTTTTGTATTTTGAAATAAAAATGCCAGTTAAGCCTGCTTTTGGCATGAATATAAGTGTTTTGTTTTTTTCCTTTGGCTTTGTTTTTTGCTTTGGTTTTGCTCTGATAACCAGATAAGTCTATCTGCTTTTATCTGGTTATACATGAACACAGTTTTCCACTTTAATTCACTCAATAATGTCAAAAGTATTGTTGGAATGAGTCTTTGAACTTGTGTCTGTGCAAATTTTGTTATGCAGCCTTTCTCTCGAGAATGCCGTCTCAGATAAGGTCATCTCCGATCTAACATTAACCAGTTCTGCCAAGAAGACAGGCTACTCTTCTCACTTTCCCATTTTTGTGTGTATATGTGTGTATATGTTCTTCAGAAAGCCAAACTTGGGCCAGCTGGTAACAAAGTCATTACCCCATCAGAAGACAGGAATTCAAGTGCGCCATCCAACAATCTGGACAGGGTGAAGCTGACAGATTTCAACTTTCTTATGGTTCTTGGAAAGGGGAGCTTTGGAAAGGTAAGAATTCTCGACAACTTGCCTTTACTACCTAGGTCACTCTGCCAGTTCTGGAAGTCACCAGTGTTGGTAGGGCTGGATATTGGGAAGAATCATGAATAGTACATATATATGTATTTGAAATCTGTTAGTCAAGAGAAAGGACTGCTATTTTTCTGACATTTTATCAGATACTTATATGATGATGTGCCCTTTTCTGGAGAAGTCCTCAGGGATTTAGCATTTTATCATCCCCTGGGCAATATGCCTATGATAAACCAGCGAGTTTTGGCTCAGGCATTGTCTAAAACGACTGGTACATCCCATTGCAGTAGGTGACTAATGATGATATTTTTGGAGTTTTGATCGAGTTAGTCTGTACACAAGAGCTGGATTGCCATCTATACAATAAATGGGGCATATGAGTCACCTTCTCCCATTGGTAGGTAGGAAGATTTTCACTCTTGTTTCTTTTTGTGCAGGTGATGCTGGCAGACAGGAAGGGGACAGAGGAGCTCTATGCAATCAAAATACTGAAAAAAGATGTGGTGATTCAGGACGATGATGTTGAGTGTACAATGGTTGAAAAACGAGTGCTGGCTTTGCAGGATAAACCACCATTCCTAACACAACTTCACTCTTGTTTCCAAACAGTTGTACGTGAGCTCTCTTGCAACTGTGATGTTTTCTACACTATGTGATCATGAATTATGTCAGTTCAATAACTTGTATTATTACGCAACCTGTATTCCATAGGTTCTTCACATAGGAAACAGTGAAGAGAGAGACACCCCTTATGGTTTTAAACTTAAAATCTAGGATTATAGATTTTTCTTCATATAGTAAATCCAGCAGACTAGTGGGAAAATTTGTAAATTTAATAATGTGTGCTTTGCTAAGTCAGACCCTTAAACCCAGATTCTCAAAGGTTCCTAAATACATTTAAGGATCTGAGGATAGTACTTGTAAAGTCTTAATGGTGCTTATTTTATCACAAGGGCATTACTCATGAATCAATGTTGATGGATTTAATTTGTTTTGCTTGTACCCCTGACACAGAAAAAAGCATTGGGCTTTTTTTCTTCATTTTCTATAAATAAACACAGTGGAGATTTCCCCATCACATTGCAAAAAATCTCCCAAAGACAGACTCCAGAATGACTCTGACAATCCAGCGGCACTGTACTGGTCTGAAAGCAGCATGGCAGGCAGTTGGCTCTCAGTGGGTGCTGCCTTCTTGGAGTTGCCTTTATTGACACAAAGTCAAGGCTCTTCTTGTCTTGCCTTGGAGCTGTCTTAATGATGATAGCCCTGAATTAGTGCCCCAGCAGTGGGCTGTAGCTTAATGGGGTGACAAAAGGACATACGTATGTTATTTTTCCACTTGACTATTCCATATCTTCCACATCAGATGGTTTGAATCAAAACAACAAACAAAAAACTAGTTAGTTTGAAGTAATAACATCGTAATATTCCACAAACACATCATGTCATCCTGTCACCATTTCATAGTACAATTGTCTGTGTTGTTAGGGGCATTTTCCAACTCTTTTTAGTATCTACAAATCTCTGAGCAGAAAATGGCCTGAATGATTTGCAAACATAATTAAGCACAGTAAAACATGAATCTGGGAACTATTGCATTTGGTAATTTTTTGCTTTCTATAATATTCTTACTGCCTCTACTTCAAAAATGAAGATAGCTGTAATAGGATGAAAGCTAGTAAGAAATAGACTTTTTTCCCTGCAATTATGTATATCTTTACAATGTTTCATTAGTAATCAAAAAGCTTAGTGTCATCAGTAATTGAAAAACCACTTTGATTAATCTTATCTTTCTTTTGGGCAGCTTCTTTTTTAATGTAAAATGTACAAATGTCTAGTGTTTTCTCGCTAAGGGGAATGGAGGAAAAAAGTTGAGGTTTTTAGTATTTGCAATATAATTTTTCCGGATGATCACATACAAGAACAACGTGGCCACATAAAGGTCTAGACAAATATTGCAAACACCTTTACCTCATTTACGTCATGTTTTCCTAAGTGTAGAGTACTTTGCACTTGGTGCTGTGAAATGCTCTGGAGGATTAGCATTAGCTACAAAAATGAGAAATTCAAAATGAAAGAGAAGAAAAAGCATATGCTGTTTGGTCATAGAAAAAACTGATGAATTGTTGTTAATGTTTTTAGCTGCTCTTTTTCCTTGCAGGCTTCTGTTGCCATGGATTTTACAATAAGACAATTCATATAAAAATCTAAATTTTATAGTTCAGATCTGGCCAATTAACCATTTTGCCTATGGCTCGTCTGTTGGACTTAGCTTAGAAAATCAAAGCTTTTAAATGTATGTTAATGTTATAAAAGCTTAGTTTCTGGACAAGTAGAGACTTCCTACTTCCAATTGGTGGTTCTGAAGGAAAGAGTGGGAATAGAGGTTATACCAGAGCATCTTAATAATGAGTTTCTTTCCCATCAGATTATTGGGTACTTTCATATAAATACTTCAAGATAATGCTTCCATCCAAAATAAATAAAGGAAAATCAGAGGAAGCCAAAAATATCTCTTCTGCAATTGGGAGGAAGACTGTTAATGCATCTGATATGCTATCTGGATCATGTTGTGACTGCAGAAAACAAGCTTGCCATAATGTTGTCTGCCAGAATTTTCAAAGCTAGGTGGCCTAAATCATCCACCCTAAATAAAAGATGTTCATAGAGTGTTAACAATGTATTTGTACAGAAGGCACTTGGAAGAGGTCAGTTTTAGTCCTCTGGAAAATGGGGAACAGATTGCTTCAAGTCTTACTGTCTGAAGGTCACTAAGTGGGGAAAATACTATATAAGTGCACTCCAATATGTTGTGTCCTGTTTCACTTGAGATACCTGGGTGTGGATTTTAAAAGTCTTAACTGTTGAAGAAAAAACACCCTTCAAAATACTTTATTGCAGTCCTTTAGTTGAAATAGGGACTTGTGAGAAAGGAACTTGGTGTCACTGGTGAAAGTAGAAGATACTTTTGTAAACCCTTTAACTTCTTTTCTTGCCTCCTTTTAGTTATGAGAAGAAAAATATATACTTCCTAAGAAGGAAAACTTATTAGGAGGCATTAGGAATGGGCTGAAAGTAAGAATTTTCAACCATCTTTAATGCTTTTTCACATTTCTTTTTAACAGACAGAACTATATGTGAGTAATTATGGGAACATTGTAGACAACTAATATATAAAATTGCATCACTAAAATTGGCAAAACTAGACAGGTCCCATCAGTCATTTACTCTTGCAGGTTTTACAAAACATCCCATTTCCATTTCCTGATCTATCAATTCTGCCAGAATGTACAACCGGTCCCAATAATCTTAAAAGCTTTATAATATCATATCAGTGATTTTTTTGCCGATCAATGCATATCTAATATTATGTCTAAAGTATTTATGTGCATCTTTAATACTTTATCCTAGGACCGCCTGTATTTTGTTATGGAATATGTGAATGGTGGTGATCTCATGTATCACATTCAGCAAGTAGGAAAATTTAAGGAGCCACAAGCAGTGTGAGTGTTCATGTTTATATATTTAAATCGTGTCATCATCTTAATTTTACCCTGTAAGAGGGTTAGATTTCTTTGTCACACTATCTAGTAGCATCTTCCTAGGTTTAGTCTGAAGTCTAGGCTGTCCTTTTTTTGATTGCGTTTTTTAAGACCCAAAAGAAGTTTATTTTGAAAATGTTATTTGTGCACACAGGCCAAAGGTAGTCGTACCTTTATTAAACAATACAGCAAAACAAAGGCAGTGTGTGCTTTAAAAGTGACAATTTAAACAAGGCAACAGGAAATTAAAAGTATTACTTAGTATTCTCATGTTGCTTTTAAAAGCAAGTATATAACAAAAGCAAGAACATTTCAATCTGAATTAATATTATAGGGAAAGTTTTAGAAATACACTTCACATTTTGATAGAGTTTATACAAGATAAATTCAATGTATAGCTTATAAGAAGTTCTGTAATTCTACTTTTTATAGAAGTTTTATTTGTGAGAAGTTACTAAATGATTAGAAGTTGTTTATATACATGGTCCCTTTTAGATTATTGTACATCTGGCATATCAGTGAGTAACTGATAATGATCTGCAACATACCCAAATGTGGATACCATCAGTACCATTTTAGTCATGCTTAAAACATCTCGTCATCATTTATTAGTGTTTCATAAATCATTTACCAGTGAAACTTTAAAATCAAGTGTGACCAATTCTGTTTAAGAATTTGGCTAAAATAATTTCTCATTTTGATTTAAATAATCAGGGCTTGTTTAAATGAGAGGCCTTCTAAATATAAGCGTTTGATATAAAACAGAGTGTCAACAACTCGCTAAATGAAAACTCAGTGCTGTCAGAACACCCTTGGTCCCCAGCTAATGTAACTTGCTGAACACCAGTTGGAAGCAGTGCTTTATGACAGCTCACGCCTGTGGAGCATATTCGTTCACACACGTCCACAAATAGCTCTGGTTTCAGAGCTAAGCATTCATTTTCCTTATGCTAGCCTAAAAAATAATCTTGTCTTTGGATAATCTTCTTGCCTATAATTTGTGCAGCAACAGGCTTCAAACATCCATCAATATTATATATCCTTTAACTACATTCAGCAATTATATTTTATATGGTAATCATTTTAATTAGTTTTATGTAATTAATCCATTAACAGCCTGTATAAAGGAATACTATTTCTGCAAATGATTTGGTGCCATATGAATTGCAATGTAAATTGAATTGCATCCTGAATTCAGCATTGATATGTGATTAGAGATAATGACCTATGCAGGCAGACTGATCAGTGCAGTAAAAATGCTGTACTTCAGCTGCAGAAAGTTTTTTTTCTGGTCTAGGGAGAAGTTTCCAATTTAAAAATAAATAAATAAATAAAATCTGTACTATCTTATCATCAAATACTCAAAATTAATTGTATCTATTAAAGTAAATTTGAAGTAATATATCTTTTATGTCTACCTATAATGTATATTTTTATACTTATGTTATCATTTTTTACCATGATGCATTTCCAAAGTATTTTGTGAGAGGGAAATCATGAGGCAATATGAAATCTGTTGGGCTTTTTTCATACAGGTTCTATGCAGCTGAGATCTCGGTTGGGTTATTCTTTCTCCATAACAGAGGGATTATTTATAGGTGAGTATAATCTGTTGTAAGCCATTTCTGAACTATTTTTAAAACCCTTAAATGATCAGTTTCTTGAATTTTTCAGTTCATTTTTAAAACGCTGTTACAAAAAGCAATTGCAGCAGCATTCTGTTGGTTGTATTGTTGTTGGAGCACTGAAACCAAAGCCTCTGCTTTACCTGAACTTTTCTGTGCTCTGCCCAATCAATTCAAGTGAAAACTCTCAAAAAGGTGAAACATCTTGTGCTTTCCTGTTTGAAAGTTCATGAGGGTCAGTGAGAGTGTGCTCATTATCATCCACAGCTCTCTCTTCATTATTTGTTGGTTTTTGATGCTTATGGCTATTCTCATATATCTGCACGGAGGTGCCCAGCTCCCTTGGGACTGCAGAGTGCCATGTACGCACATCCCCCGTCCCTCCACCCCCAGAAAGCTGCACATATCCCCTCACCTGGCCACAGAAGTAGATAAGTCGGCCCTAATCGATCCTAAGCATTAACATTAAATCCCTGTGATTCTTTATAGAGATCTGAAATTAGATAATGTGATGTTGGATTCAGAAGGACACATCAAAATTGCCGATTTTGGAATGTGCAAGGAACATATGTTAGACGGAGTAACAACCAGGACCTTCTGTGGCACTCCAGACTACATTGCACCAGAGGTAAATATTTACCCTTTTCAAGAATCTTATGGTCTCTCAAATGAGAATTGTCAGCACTCACATCTCACACCTCCAAATGTCGATAGCCGGAGCTGTGGATACTCTGTGGATGGTACCACTTGTATTTCTATAGGGGTACTGAATAACTTCATGAATTAATACAGTTACATCAGTAAGACCTCACTACTTTAAAATGTATCTAGTTGATGGAAAACTTTATTTGGTATGAGATCAGTATTTCAAATTTTGTTTGTACTAGCAAAGACTAAATAAGCAAGCTCACCCCCTTGTGATTTTTAATTTGTAGCCTGAAAATGTTGTTATACAAAATTGTGCTTCAGTGTGAAGTCAGAGGAAGTTCAAGGGGGTTGCTGATGAGATCAGCAAACATTTTATTGATGAGATCAGCAAACATTTTATTTGCTGATTTATCAGCAAACATATATTTTATAACATAGTTTCTTTAATGTTTTTCTCTATAGGTTCACACAGCTGCCAAAATACATATCTTTAAAGGTTGTTCAGCATTTTCAGGAAAACACAAATCTCATTGATTTTTGGAAAGTGACTGATGAGGCCTTGAAACTTTTCAATGACCTCCCTACGAAGCTACTTGGGTCCGCTCCAGGCCCTGTCTTACAGGGGGTGTGTAGTTGTCCTGAGGTCCTGCTTTTGATCTCGGGAAAACGCCAGTCATCAAAAGCCTCAACTAAGCTGTAAGATCAGGACTTGAACGAAATTGATGTCATAAATCCATACTTTGACTAGGGTTTTCCACGACTTACCAGTACCTCTGCTGCATTCAAGCTACCAAAGTACTGAAAATCCCATTCAAACACGAACCTAGCTGCAGTGTGTCTAAAATGCAAATTGGGTGATGAGAAACACAGCTCTATTTTAAAGCACTGAGATAGAGAAATAGGAGTTTAGAGTTAAGATTTTTTAGTCTGGATATGATTTGTATTTCAATAGTCTAGGTATAAGACATGAAAAACAAGCACATGTGGTGATTTGGAAATTATTCAAATATATGAATATTAAAATCTGGTGTTTGTGCGTACTGAGCTTTCAAGAGTCTTGATTTGTTTGGCTGCAAATTCAAGGCAAGAGGCTGTATCCTGATCCAAGAGACGCTGTGTTTCACCGAGTGCTGAGCAAGAGGCAGCGCTGGCTGGAACATTTCTGGCTGTAATTGAATGTTTGTTGGAATATAGGAGATTTATACATGGACAAGTAAATTAGTGTCTAAGGTGAATTTTGTCATCTTTATGAAATTGGAATGAAAAATAGTTTATTTTTTTCTAGTTGTTAATTCACGCTTTTCAGAGTGAAATACTATGTATTATAAAACCTTTTTTTTTTTTTTTTTTTTCCACAAATTGCTGTTGCTTGCTACAGGATATCAGAACAACCAGAGCAGTATTTCATTTTCTCCTGTCAAAACATAAATGAAGCCAATATGACAAATCAAAAAGTCTCCTTTCTGTGGCAACCAGCTTGTGCCAGCTAATACCAAAGAACGTATTATCAGTGCCAAAATGCTCAATATGGGTCAGTGTTGGAATGATTTATTTTAATTTATTTGGAAATGCAATGTGAAGAAATAAACCTTTTACCAAAACATTCAGTCACTGGGAGGAAATTAGTCTTTCCGTTATCTTACGAACAGATTTTGTATTATTTTTTTTGGTTAGACAATTTTCTTTAGTTTCTGAAGACATTATTGTGACTAACAAGTTGCTAACTAGCCCTGTGATAAACTTCAAAGTAAGGTTGATGTCTGGCTTCCAGGAGCATGTTCCCATGGGCTAAGATGTATAATAGATTATAATGAGGATGCGTTTCCAGAGTATTATTCCCTGCTGCATGAAGATAAATGGGCTAAATCTAAATAAACTGTTTGAGAAATCTGGAGTGGAGCTGTCCTGTGAGTGTGGAGCACTCAAAAATACAGAACTAGCCCTTTTGGTCAGTGTTAGGGAAATGGCATGACTGCAGTGGGTTCTGAAGGACCCCCGCTGTCTCTCCATGAGCTATCCCCAGGCAGTTCAGAGGTAGCATGGCTGGGGTGCAGGGGTCAGATGGGGCCATACAGGGACATCTCAGCTGGCTTCACGTGGATGACCTTGGCACAGAAATGCAGGGGAATGGTGGCACAGCATTCAGAAAGGTGGATGTGCACTTCCATGTACTCGCTGTAAAATACTGCTTTTCTTTTATATGCTTGGGGATTTGTTGTTACACACTGGTGTATAACACACTGGTATTAATATTCCTTTTTTTAATCATACACAATTTGGGAAGTATGCAGAGGCTGAACTGGCTGAATCCTGGGTTTGACCACATCTGTCAAGCAAACAGTGGTTCTCTGGTATTTATTGATGTGCTGAACTTAAACATAAATATTTATGATCAGGGCAATATAATAGCCTTGAAATCGATTAATACTTCGTATTTCCTTGACTAGTCAAGAGAGACAGATGCAGATGGATGTCGAGGCTTAGTGGGGATCCTGGCAGCACCACCCGCTGCCTGCGGTGCAGTTCTGAACCCTTCCATGAGCACCCTGGCAGCACCTGGAAGAATGGTTTTGAATTTCAGCAGACTTTAAAATAAAAATTTCCTTTTCCCTTCTCCTCTGTCAAATAGCCTCAGACCTGAAGTTCTAACTGCAGTTGCCAGGATTAGGAGAGGGTAGTAGGTATTGCAAAGGTTTGGAAAGTGTGTGTTTGATTGTTTCTCATGCTAGTTATATTTATTTCTTTTAATAACTGTGCTTTAACTTTTCCAGTAGACGTAAGAGATGTTCACAAAAGACTCTTTCTTTTGCCTTGGGGATATAATCTTTTCATCCCAACTGGCTACCAGCTGCAAGTGGCAATGATCTAAACATTCCTACAAATTGCTGGTATTAATCTCCGTGTCCTGCTCTTCACTGTGCCTTCCTTGGAGGCAAAAAAAGAAAGGAAAAAATGCAGTCAACATTGCTCAGCCAGTTTGGCTTGATGCAAGAAATTCCTCCTGAGCTCTCAAATCCACAGAACCTGAACAGGCAGAACCCTTAAAAATACAATCATCGGTAGGGGAAATAGGACATTTGAAATGCAAAAAGGCAATCATTTAAATAGTGATGGAGAAGGAGGGGAAGGAAGGATCTTATCAACTTTCCGTTCCTGCTGGACCAGTAGAAAACAGAGGCCATAGCAGGAGGAGAGGATGGGTCTTCATTTCTGGTCCCACAGCCCCCTCACTGCTCTGTGGGTCTGCTCTGCTCACTGCGGTGAGACAGAAGGTCAGTGTTAATATGCCCCTCGTTAGTAATGTGCCTGTATTTATTCCAAGAGATACCAAAGCCTGTACCTGCAGATAGGCTGACGTTGGCAGCTGCTGCCAGGCCGGCAGTGCTGGCTCTGGGTGCAGCAGCTGGGAGGTAATGCACAGTGATTGCGGGATGAGGAGGGAGCTGCTGAAAATACGCCTTTTAGAACTTGCTGACTTTGTACCGCTGCGTTTGACTGTATATTCAAAACTCATCTGCTTCCTCCCACATGTAATTCCTTCCTTGAAATGAGCATCCTTTCCTCTGCTTTGCATTTTCCAATTAATGCTTTGAGTAACTCCCAGTGTTATGTGTGGGTATAGCTGTTGGTTTCCGTGCGTGACACACGGGTTGGAGCATGAACGTGGCACATTGGTTTGCTGTGTTTCACTGGTGTCATATCCTTACCGGGGTGCAGCAGGTGATTCAAATGTGCATGTTTAATTAGGATTAAAGGAAAACACCTTATAGTATTACATACATCAATGGACAGTGACAGTGAAGTACTTTTCCTACCTTTTCCTACTCAATAGATACAATGAAAAGTGTTTATATTGCATCTGCAGTGGGACTTCTCTGAAGTGGGCCCTTTCCAGTCCCAGTGGAACTCGATGTCTGTATTTCTTTCCCAAAATCCCACTCTTTTACTATGCGATTGGTTCCACATGAGAGATGCATGCTCTCTTGGAAGGGCCACTGCTCCTCTTGTCGTGCACTTCTGTTGATGCTGACATGGAGCATCAACTGAATATTTCAGCCAATGACATAGGACACAAATTTTAGTGCTCTCGTGACTCTGACCATATGTTAGGTTAACTGTAGGAGGTTTTTTCATGTTCATTCTGTCTCTCTTGATGATTCTGCTTGATATGCTATCACAAAGGCAAATTTAATTGGGGCAGATTGCACTTGCTGATGAGAATGCTATTTAGAGAACAGCCCAATCTTGACTTGCTTCTTGCTGGTTAAGTAAATGGCATCCTTAGGTCCATGCTTTGTTACATCTTTCATTTTATGACATTGTGTTACCTTCTTGAAATATTTCCTCTCCTCAGTGCTCCCATCAAACTCGTTGACACTAGGAGGAGAAGTAGATCAGAGCATGCTGGACAGACCTGAGACCATGCCTGTCTCCTAGGATTTCCTTTCACAGTGCTGTGGATCTATCTTTCTCTCTCATTTGCTAATTTAAATATGCTGTTCCATCCAAAACCACTTAAATGCAGTGAGATTATTGTACAAAATGTTCTGCCCTTACAGATTAATGACCTTCTGAAAAATATCCCCTTCCGTTTTGGTAACACACCTTGCCGTTCCATCAGGCAAGGAAGTATTGGGGGAGAGGGGTTGAGGATGAAAGTGTTTTAATGTTTTCTTTGTGTAAAGGTCAGAGTTTTTTCTGGATAAAGTTCTGAAAGTGTTTAGTCTTTGAAGAAGCAACATTGATTCCACAGGACCTCTGGGAACTTGCTGGTGATAGAAATGACAGGGAGGGCAACCAAGTTTGTCCACCACCGTAACACGAAATGAATGTCCCGAATATATCTTATAAAAGCCCAACGTATGTGGCTACTGCTAAAAGACAATTAAGATAGCCTTTATGTAACACCTTTCAGCTGAGAATCTTGTCACTACCTCTGGTTGTGTAATACATTTTGAAGTGTGATTTAATTTGAAACTTTTTGCTTAGAAACAGTGCAGTAATTTTAAATTCATGTGCTGCTGTTACCCCAGCAAAAAATGTGTATTCATATAGAGGCTCTAATTCTGTTTCGTAGCCAGGCAGCCCTGAGAAATAACAAAACTCGCCAGTTCAACTTCTATTTCAGGCAACTAAGAAATCTGGCATATGTGGTCTGTACTGGTCTTAGCAATTATTTCACAAAGACTAAAAACATCAAAACATATTGGAAGCCCCAGTGCTGCCTTCCCCAGTGCAGGTGGGATGTCCTGCATCCCTTCACCATGCCCACTATCCCTTCACAGTTATTTAAAAAGAGATCTGAGAGGGTATCTGAACCTCTGAACTCCTCTACAGGATGCCCAAACGCATCTCTTAAATAAATGAACGCTGATCTCTGAACAGGTTCTGATAATAGAAAATGACGCACAAGGGGACCTGCGTGCTGTTTGCACTCACAGCCTCTCATTGTTTCAGCACTCAATTTGTGCTTCTGGGTGAGTCAGATGCGAACCCAGAGGACGCAAAACACTTGATGTTTCCATTAGGCTGAACAGCAGAAACCGCTTTCTTTTTGGTGTAACTGGTATCTGGTTTCATACTAAGAGTATCTTAATCATGCAACTTGGGAAAATGTAACTGAGCTTTTCAGGGTTTTGCTCTTAAATTTTTATTCTTCTTAGAGTGGAACAAAATCATAAATATTGAAAAGAAAGGCTTAATTATTAATAATCTGTAAATTAGTGAGTCTCATGACTTGAAGCTTTGACATGGATGGAAAAAAATTTTGTCTTGTCTCCTACATCGTGCTACTCTACTTCCGTCTTTGCCTTCAAATGCACATCTCAAGATCTCCTAAGAGCTGAATTTCCCAAGATACCAGAATACCAAACAATGCAGGTGGGTTTAGAATAGCATTTGCAAAAATGTCCAACTCCAGCTGGAAGCAGTGATTAGCTGGAGCGAGGATTACAGTGGTGGCTTTCTGGGTCCTTGCAAAGAACAAGAACTATGTTTGTCTCTGTGTCACTATTTATCCAATATGTCACCAGACTGGATGTTGGATAACTGGATTTTTGTTTTTGTGTCTGTGTGATTATACAGATTATTGCTTACCAGCCCTATGGGAAGTCTGTGGATTGGTGGGCGTACGGAGTGCTGCTCTATGAGATGTTGGCTGGCCAGGTAAGAGTTACCCTCCTGTGCTTGCCATGACCTCTTCCTGCCTGTCCAACGCTGCTCTCTATCAAAAGTTGCTAAAGGGCTAGACCCCTAGGGGACAAGCATGGGGATTTTCATACTCATATTATCTCTGTGTACTCTTGACTGTCTCTGACTTCACTGAGAACGTGTTTATAGAGCTCTTTATATTGCACCCACATAATAAAGCACTGCCTTTGAGTATGGTTCCTTTGTACTGTAACGATGTTTTAAATAGCCATCTTCAAAATTGAATGGGAGAGAGACGCTTTAGCAGGAAAATGCATGTCAAATGGAAGAAATATAATTTAGTAGCTTGAAACCGCAGGGAGACATAATAAGACTGTGCATATGCTCTGCATTGCAGTTAAGTCACACGAATACAGCTTTTGTATTCTGTGTCCTGGGGGTAAAGTATGGGTCTCACTGCTTGAAATAAGCTTAGTTACAGACCCCTTATTCTGCACAGTTACTGAGACGCTGCTCTCTGAGTCACTGAAGTAGGAAAGCAACTCTGTGCTGCAGTAAATGGCAGATAACTACCGACTTCAGGAACCCGATTCATCTTGAGCTGGAAAAGATTTGTGCAGGTGGCTTTCATTGAATGTTAGCTAGAGGTATGCATTTCCTTAGCGATATGGCTTAGTGGAGGACTTGTTAGGCTTAGCGATACGGTTTAGTGGTTTAATGGTTTAGTGGAGGACTTGTTAGTGTCAGGTCAGAGGTTGGACTCAGTGATCTTGAGGTCTCTTCCAACCTAGACAATTCTGTGATTCTGTGATTCCTAAGCTTAAAACATACATTTTAACCAAATGCATTTAAAAGTTTCTCTACTAAATTCCACTCAACATTTTCAAAAAGTTTTTAAAGGGTTGCAACTGCAGTTGTTAACATTTACAGTGTGCACTGCAAATATTAGGCAGCTGAGTGCTTTTTAGTCAGTGAGATTTATTATTAGCTCAAACTTACACGGTGTCCGTATCCTGGGGGACTCACCCACAGGCACTTCCCTCATCACCTGTATTTAAAAATAAAATGCAGCCCTGTCTGGTGATCCAGCCTGCTCCTCACAGAAGCAGAGCCTACGTGCATGTCTTGTAAAACAAACTGGGGTTTCGCTGGAATTAAGTGAGGAGTGGATATATTTTAATACAAGGTAACTGAAAGCTACAGTCTCCAGACTTTACCCCTTAAAGTGCTGCTGCCTGCCGGGTGCACAGTAGCTTTAAAAACTATAGATAATTTTGAAGATAAACTCATTGAAGATAATCCAGCAAACCTTTCATTAACCTTGCTGCCATGTTGGGGACAGAAATGAAGATCCCCAGGCTGCAGACGGCTGCAAGCTTGGTGTGTATTCCTGAGCAAGGACCACAGCTTACACTGATGTCTTGGGCATCTCTGCCTGACTGGGAGGCAGGTTGCTGGGCTGAATGAACCTCTAACATGACCCAGTATGGTATAGTATTGCTATGCCATCTCATAAAATGTGGAAAATTAAAGAAAAAAAAAAAAGTAATTAACTTACATGTGCCTTATTTTTAACAGCCTCCATTTGATGGAGAAGATGAAGATGAACTTTTCCAGTCCATAATGGAGCATAACGTTTCCTATCCAAAATCACTGTCCAAAGAAGCCGTCTCCATCTGCAAGGGGGTGAGATAGATGTTTCTTTATCATTAAACTTCTTTTTGGCTGTCTTTATGAATAACTAAATTTGTCTGGCTTTGCTATGGCACTGTAGTATTTTAAGTGCAACTTCTGTCAGGCTGTGCTAAGTTATATTGTCATAAAGTGCTCATCGCTTGGTGTCACTGATAAGTATTCAGCTCCTCCTGCTGTGCCTGCTTATTTTATGGTAAGAACAAATGTCAGAGTCAGTAGCTGCCAAATCCAAAGCAGAAATTATAAACAGGATGATGGTGTGAAATGTCTCCTCCCGCCTTGCTTCTCAGCCCTTGGCAGCACAACCCCAACTTTGCAAGGTGAGGAGATTTCCCAGTTTAGATGGATGCCAGATATTCCAGCAAACATGCTGTGGTCTTCAGCCCAGTAGGCCTAATCACAGCAGCAGAATAAAGAGTTAATAAAAATCATTTTCCAATGTAGATAAAGATGAGCCTATGTGAAAATCTGCAGCATAAGCACAAGGGAACTGTGGAGAAATCGTGTCCCAGTTGTAACCTGTGTGGCCAACAATTTAGATTCAAAGTTGTTGTTGTTGTTTTCAAGGAAAAGAATGATTTAATTTGAAGGGATTAGCTCAGAAAAAAAAAAAATCATCTGACTTTCTCTTGACTCCCTAGTGACGTGATTCCCTAGAGTACTGTCATTCTGCAGCTTTTCCAACCCATCCCCTATAAAGCCTTACTTTGACGTCTTACATCACTGCACTTAGTGTCAGTTAATTTGGTCATTACTTTTTTCCTTTCCTTCGGAAGAATTTAAGTAATATTGCATATAACTTGGATATTAATCCTGAAAGGAAAAATCATCAAGAAAAAGAAAAGGTGTTTAGAACAAAGTAAAATGAAAGACCACTCTAATTTTGGAGCCTATATCAATGTAGACATGCTGCTTCTGGTAACAAAATCTAAACGATATATTTTTGTAAAGTACACGGAGATTGATGCCTTGTTGTGAAAATCATACGTTCACCCAGCACAGTTTGAACCTGATCCAATTATCCTGTTTGCAGCTCTCCTGCTTGCTGCTATTCCACTAGCTGCTTATGCAAAGGGAGTTCAGAAAGTCGAAACTGCATCGCGCCACTAGGCATAAGGTCAAGTCTCTGTGATATAACATCTTCAATGTCTGCATTAAGCTAACAAATTAATCCCAGACTTCAGTGAGCATTATACCTGAGCTAAGAAGTCAGTGCAGGAGCAGCTGTGTTGCTGGTACTCAGCAGCAGCTCAGCAATCCCAGGCCAGTGCACGGTCGGGCAAGGCGAACGTGCCTGCTGTGCTCCTCAAATTGAATTCTCTGCTTGATGGCTTTTCCACTGGTTCAGAGCATGCTGGGCTTGGTGATCTCAGTGACTTTGAAACAGAATTACATCTGCTAGAAAAGTTATTCACATTTTCTTATATCACCTACTGTTAAAGTGAGGGGTTTAGAAAAGTTAACAAAAGTGGCAAAGTTGCTGTTAAGCTGGAAGAATGACGTGATGTGATCCTAGCCCGGTGCCTAGCCGGCTTCCTGAAGTCTGCTTCGGGTCTCTGCTAATTTCAGAGTTGGAATGTGATCAAATGAACATTTGGAGGGAGACTAAAGTGGTACAGCTGAGGTTTTAAAAAGATGTGTCGAGGTATCACTGCCTGCAGTGTATTAATCACATACGATTTGTAGAAGAGCTTTAAAAAGTCCCCATAACACTGGAACTGAGAGCTGAAGGCTGCCTTGCTCAATGCCTAATGTACGATACGTACAAGGGACAAACAAGCCTTTGAAGGAGCTTGTTAATTAGGGAGCACATTACTGTTTCCAAGCTGGCAATACTGGTGTTGTGTTTTGTTTTGTTTTGTTTCCCATGTCTGCTTAATCTATGCAACTGGGTGTAGTATTGACCAAGATGTCATTAAGGATGCAAGGGAGGAAACATGGATGAGATGTTGTCAGCTGGGTGCCAAGAAACTGTAGGCTCCATAATGAGATGTCTTCAACAGGCCCAGAAAAATGTACTTCATACAGCTTCGGTATACTGGGATTTATTAAGTTTAATTGATTGCTGAGGTCGGGCAGAAGCTGTTCTGGAGATTTATAGGACTGAAATGAAAGACCAAAGGCAAAATGCAGGAGCGAGCTGTGTTGTGAGCCAATGGGACCATGGTGTGCCCAGGGCACCGTGTGCCCACCCAGGCCTGCAGTGCTCGCCTCTGCTAATGGGAAACAGTGCACAAGCACAACCTTTAATTTGGCTGCTGGCATGCTGTCTCCAGCGATGAAACAAGGAAACTCATCTTCAAAAAATAAATTTTAGCTTTTCAAAGCAATCTTATTAGCAACTTGCATTTTCAAGAGAGGAGCAAGAACATTGCAATCTGGGGAACGTCTGTCTCGCTTCCACTCCAGCACTCAGGGTAATCATTTGGTGTTTTCTTCTTTGGTAGCTAATGACTAAACATCCTGCAAAACGCCTCGGCTGTGGCCTTGAAGGTGAAAGAGACATCAGGGAACATGCTTTCTTCAGGAGAATTGACTGGGAAAAACTGGAAAACAGAGAGATCCAGCCACCTTTCAAGCCCAAAGTGGTGAGTGAGGGGCCAGACATGTCCCTTGCCACACGTGCCTGTGGGTATGCTTTCCTGTGGGGTTAGGGTGGTGCTGGCTTGGTGGTGCTCAAAATCTGCTAAAACAGGGAATTTTGATGGTGGCTGAGCCATCTGGAAGTCTGCTAATGTTTTGGCAGCCTGCAGCATAACCCAGTGTTGTTTGCTCTTTGTGAAAAAGTCTCACAGTGGTTGGAGTCCTGACTGGACATTCATGCACTGCATGAGATGCTGAAAAGAACACACAAGACTGGCATATTCACATCAGCTGCTTGAGGCATGTGGTAAATGCCATTCTCTCCTCTGAACAGCGTCCAAAGTCAGTGACTAAAGGTGTCTGAATTACTGAATTCCCTCCTCAGCGGGCTCTGTTCCCCAGGGACTTACATTCCCCAGCCTAGAGTGACAGAACCCAGATCTGCTGAGTTTGCAGGAATGGTACCTGATTTATTTTACATGTCTATTACTGTTTTATGCACATGTATCTGTAGGAATATTTTAGAAATCCAAACAAGTGTCCTTAGTGCAAGAACCATTTGCATAGCACAATTTGAAGAACTGCATTTGTTGACACAGAAATTCTTTCAGCATGTCCTGCACTTTATTGACAGGCAAAAAAAATTATTTGCACACAAGAATATAAGCTTTCAGGAACAGCTATAAATTGTTATGTCTTGACATCAAATCTTTCTTCTCTAACACTGTTTACACTTCAGCTGAGATGTGTAACAGTCTCTAGCACTGCAGGTATAGGATCATTGCTCTGTGCGCTGATTTATTTGTCAATACAGACATGCTAGTGGGGTATCACAAACTAATGAGCAGAGGCAGAATATATTTCTCCCTTATTGCATACAAATCCCTTTTTCACCTCGCCAGGAAGGGAGTCGCATGGTGAGAAGTGTTTAGTGCTAGGGGAAATCATCCTTTACATATAATGTGGATTTTGCATGCAGGGAGGAGCGTAAGTACGTAAAAATCCATACCTGCTGCTGCCAAGCCTGGCCAGCCATTCCCAGAGCTGGCTGTCAGAGGGGGGCTGCACTTACTACAGAACATTTTATGTAAGATTTTCATTATGTGCTTTTTAGGTCAAAATTACTGTTGATCATAAAACAAGTCTACCTTCACATCTGTAAGTGTAATTAGCTTGAGAACTGAGTGCTCAGACTCTCCTTGAAGTTAAAAGCAATGCCAGCACAATGATATTAAATGCTGAAATATGGTCTGGTTCCATCATAGCACGCTTGGTGGCAGATCCTGGCTCCTGTTCAGAGCAGCTGTTATCTTTCTCTGTGGTTATCATGACCGGTTTTGTTTATACAGGCTGCTGTTGAAAGACACCAAGGAGATTCAGGCATTCACGTGGAGCTGAACTTTCCCAGACAAAGATAATTTAAAATCCAAATCTGATATTTACATACCCTATGTATAACTCATTTATTGTGGTTGCTGATTTTATTTATATCGATTCTAGAAAACAAAAAACACACAAACCTTAATGTGTGTCAAGACATGGACGTATTTATAAGCTTAATTTTGTTCTGTTTTCAGAAAAACACTCTAGGTGCATCTTTTCTGGGAAGCACTTTGCTGCAGGAATAATCCTGCTGCTTTTGCACACAGGCACAGTTCTCACTCCAGTATGGAGCTGCAGATTTGGGGTCAGCAGTCAGTTGGTTTAAATAATATTTTCCCTTCCAAACTGACATTTCAGAGGCCATAGGCATAGAGTGACTACTTGGCAGGAAGGATATTTTCTCATATTTGTAAGTGTAAGAGTTCTGGGAGTCCCAGATTTTCAGTTCTGCTTTAATACCCCATTAACACTCATGGTAGCAGTGGTGTTCTTTAATGTGAAGAAAAATATATAATTGAGATGCAAATAGATTGATAAATGATTAAATTTGTTCATATTACATTTACATTTAATGAGTTATTCCTCCATCTCTACCAATATAAGCAGTAATGAGATACCTAATGGAGTCAGAGCTTCAGTTTCAATATGCAGCTGGTTTGAATAGCTTCTGTTTATTGGGGGGAAAAAAGGCAAAAAGATTGAGCATAATTTTGTGGAAGCATCACACATCTCTGTAAAACATCTGTTAAGCAAAAAAAGTCTTCCCTGTGGAAATATCCTTTCGGTTGCTTCTCTGAATCGACTGTACAGCCTCAAAATAAATTTGACTGTTAATTTGGAGATGCTCTGACTTTCATCCAAATGATGGGGAGTTTTCCCCTTGTTAGAGTTCAGCTCTGTCCATTCCGTGTCTCAAAAGGCATTGGCTTCAGTGGGCACCAGGGTACTCAGTGAGCACAGAACCTCAGGTGAAAAAAGCAAACCACCATTAGCCTTTAACCTGCTCAAGTGTCTTTGGAGATGGAACAAGCCTACTTTTATTAGCACTACGGTGCAGTACCTGAGCATGCATTTTTCATCTGAAATACAAAACAACTAGTGCCTGGGGCAGCAGCAGTTCTTTGCAGCTCAGACTGGCTGGCGTGTCCAAGTCCTTGTGCCAGGTGCTTTGCAAGGAGGTTGGAAACTGTACGGTTTTCAAGACAGGGCATGAGCCACATATCTCATCCTTGAATTCCCTTAAACAGTCCTCCTTTCTGCTTGTTCCTCCTCTAAATGAGAGGTTTTATTCATGTTAAATTAGTTCAGAAAAATCAATGTTTAATAGTGGTCTGTCATACAAGTCATCTTCTGCCCTTTCAAAGTTACCCTCTAAATCTGAAGCTGATGGCGTAATGCAGTGTTATCCTCCCAATCCCAATGTAGATACATTCACTAACGCAAATAGTTGATAGTGCAGCCATCCTCCAGGGATAGGTAAAGAGGACATGTTCAGGGATGACGAGAAGTGTTCACTGCATGTACAGTACATCCAGACTTTGTTTAAGAATTTGTTACAGCAGATGGTTTTAAGATAAACAGATTTACCTTTGGACCTCTCCACAATACTCAATGTCTGGTTTTCCCCAGATGTGAAGTCTTTCTTGTACCCAAACTAACTTTGTTCTGCTCCCACCTTCATCCTCTTTTACTTGCTGCTAATCGTACTCTCCTGCTTTCCAGCTGTTTCCTACATCACCCCCAAACTATCCTTTTGCAAACCTGATTTCTTTTGTTTTCTGTTCTGAATGAGTTGTGTTCCGTGTGTAGCTATATATAACCATGCTTCTCGGCTGGGCTTCACGAGACGATGTGTCTCTTCTCTTAGACAAAAAAAGAAAGCAAGCTGTGATAGCACATTTTGTAATGTGGACCTGCTCCCAGGGTACGCTACCTGCCCCAGTTCCCTTCTTGGGCAGGCAGTTGGAGTTTGCTGGGAATTTGGTGGTTGAGCTCTTGAGAGAAGTTCGGAAAAGAGAATCGCTTCCATTTTGTTTTATGGAGCTGCCTGACATCACTGCCCTGTGAGGTGACCTGGGGGTTAAATCAGGGTGAAATTCAGAATGCAAGGATCAAATAACTACCTGCTGTACCTGAGCATGTCTGCGGTGTGCATCCAGCAGAGGTACTATATGCAGGGTCTCATGGTGGGGAGCATTGGTGAGCATTTTGTCCCAACTCCTACCTCTAAATCCATGGTGCAGTGACTCTTCAGGTAGAGCTAAGTAGTTCGTTTTACTTTTATGTGCTTGTTCTTCTTCCTAAGAGAGTCACATTCATCTTCATGTCTCCACTCCACACTTAGAGGACTGTCTGGTCATGCTCGCAGTTTTTTATGCTGTCTTTTGCGAGGTCGCCCAGGTTTTCACTACCCTGCAAGACTTTATTTCATGTCTGCTTCGTTCCAAGTGGGACTGAAGTGTGATTTGGAATAAATATCTTCTGCATCTGAGCAAGAGCTAGATCTGGGAATAGACAATTGCATTATAATGTGCTATAATTTCAACAATAATAAAGATTATACATGCAAACACACATGCATGCAAATATATCTATATGCCTATGTAAATCTGTTCATAATTTTCCAAGCTTTATATCCAACTTTAGCTCCTACTTTTAGCGCACATAACATTTCCTTTGGTAAAACCTCTTTGCTCTTTTATGTTAATGTTATGCCAGTATAGCTCTGCTCAAATTTATGGATTCACAGGAGTTTATGTGCTATACAAGGAAGAATTGAAGTATGTAAATGAATTTCATTAAGCTTTCTGCAGATCATGAAAGGAACAAAGACTAACACAAAATTTAATTTTGTGTTGTAAAAGTTTTATGGAGAAGCAAAAGACTTGACAGATAAAGTATCTCTTGCCAATACGTGTCCATAAAAATATTTTGTTTTTCCTTTTTTATCCCACTGGTTCTGAATATTTACGCCTCTTTAACTTGTCACCTCATGCTGATGGATGGGAACATTTCTAACTCAGCTTTTCATCAGAATTTATCTATTAAATCCTCTCTGTTTGCCTGAGATATTTTTTTTCATTAGAATATCTCGAAAGAAAATTTTCTGTAACTAGTTGTAAGAAGTGAGGGAAAGCCTTGTGCTCACCCTGATAAATCTGCAAACAGCTGGGACTGCCAATGTACTGTTGATTTTTTTCAGTCTTTTTTTCTCTTTTTTTCTTGCAGTGTGGCAAAGGTGCTGAAAACTTCGATAAGTTCTTCACACGAGGACAGCCAGTGTTAACACCGCCGGATCAGTTGGTCATTGCTAACATAGACCAAACAGATTTTGAAGGGTTCTCCTATGTCAACCCCCAGTTCGTACACCCCCTTCTACAAAACGTAGCATGAAACAGCAGAACAGGAAGCAATCCCACAGTGGGGAACAGTCCTTAACCCTACAGTTTTTAGGGTTTTGCCTTGTTGATTCCATTTGGGCCTGAAAATTGTAGGGTTAGAAAGTGTATGATGGGGGGAAAGGCCACTTTTTCAGGATTTTGGCTTTGCAACAGAGACATTGTCTTAATGGGAGATAAATTACTATACAGTGCCCATTTATTTCTCCTAGAAGTCACCGCTGACTCGTCTAAAGTTACCCATTTTTGGTACATAGCATAGTTTTGCAATTTCCCCCTGTCCTTTTTCTCCCTTTTCCACTCTGCTATCGTTAGAAATAATCTGAGACCCCGGGTCTGAGAAAACACCTCAAACACTGAGCCCTTCCGCGGGGATGCCGTGCGACTGGAGCCCGCGGCCCCAAGGGACCACTCCTCCCCGGGTCTTACGGTGACTTTGGGGAGAACAGCAGCACACGGGACTGAAATGCACCGGGGAGGAGAGGCATTGCAAAGCATTGTGGAAAGCGGTTGTTTCAAAAACTTCACAGAAACAAATTTGGGAGGGGGGGGATAAAATCAGAGTAGACCCCGAGGCTTCGTGAACCAGTCCTGTACGCAACACCCCGTTTAAACACGCTTCAGCAGTGGCCAGATCTCTAGGATCTTTGCTAAGTAGCATGTGATAAACTCAAGGGTGAAATTTTGTCTTTAATAATAATAGTAATAATTTTAATAATATTTTTGTGAATTTTAATCTCCATGAGATTATTCTGTGATCCAGGGTGCCATTGTGTGTTCAGTTAATTTAATTTACACAACTCCTGAAGTTTACTGTTAACCGGTTCTACTAATACCAATATTTCACTAAGAAATTTGTTAACCTGGAATGTAAAACAGAACTGTAACTCCTTAAATCTTATTTACATGTGCGTGTTTGTAGTCTGCAGTGTAGGGCAGTAAATCAAAGAAAACGTGTATACTAAATTAACAAAAAATGCAGCCCCAAGTGACTTCCTGATTTCTCCAGAATAACTCATGAAAATCAAGTGAAATTTACTCCTAAAATAGTAAATTTTAACTCAGACAACTTGGGGCTGTAAAATAATCAAGTCAGAATGAAGCACCTAAAACTTGTTTTATCGATAGAATGGAATTTAATACATTTTACGTATGCTTCATGCAATGAATTTTACATCTTTAGTAATAACTCTTAATAATAAGGGTTAACAATAAGCAGATCTATATTACTGACATAATCATATCAAGCATAAAGAGTATTATAAAAATTTTATAAATCAAATTGTGCTTTATTTGTGAAAGTTCTTGTTCTGAATGGCATCATTTAGGTTTAGCTAAATGTTTTATTGCTGTTGTTTTGGTTTTGTTTTGGGGTTTGGATTTTTTTTTAGTTTTTGGATATTGTTAATGACTTAGGGTATCATCTGTTTTTTTAAATGTAGATCTACTTTTAAACAATAATTGCTACCTGCAGGTTTTATACAAGGTTCAATTAGGCTTTCATTTCACGTCTGCTTATTACTTACAGGGAAGGAAATAGACTTTATTTGCAATGATGAACACTGTAATTAATGCAATCTTCTCCTCTCCTATCACTTAGATAAAAAATTTGATATTTCCTCTTACAACTTACCAGAAGATATTAATTCAAAGATCAGTAAATATTTCTGTGCTTATTTTGGTTTTGTTGCAGCATGTAAAATAGTAGTCAGTGCGTTTTCCTTTCTTTTCCCTTTTGCCTTGTTCATGGTAGCAGCCATAGGCACTCTTTGTCTGTCAGATGTGCATGACGATGCCAGAAGCATGATGTCTCTGTTGCTGCATGCAGACTGATTACAGTTTTTCCAGCATGTAAACATACTCAAAAAAGTAAGATATTTGCCATAAGAGACTTAAATTTATACTAGAATATGTAACTGGGGGAGGGGGGGAGGGATCTACTTTCTAATCATCTTTTATTACAATAAAATGTCAAACCTGTGCCAAAGATTCTGTCAGAAAGATCCAGTCCTGCAGATCCCGTAGCCACGTGGAAGGTCCCAACTCACGGGAACGACCCCAGAGGTGCACTGGACAATTTTTGAGCAAAGTGCGGTTGGCTGGGAAAGGCAACTGTGTCATGCTTCTGCACCCGTGATGCCTTCCGAAGCCAGATTTTGGTGCCTAGGACGTGGGATTTGGAACACTCCAGATGTTTGGCTTTTGCCCAGCCGTAGTCTTTTTGCAGTCACAGCTCTGAGCATGAAGCATCTCCCCGGTGAGAGGGGTCAGCCCTTAGCGGCTGGACAGGACAGTTCTAAGGCACGGGGTAGCACGCTGCTAACGAGGGGCATTCACCACCTAACCATTTCCCAGATTGATGCCTAAATAAACAGAACTCAATGAGTAATTTTAATACATTTTAGGAGTAAAATTTTTAATCCATTCTGTGTCAAATATGTTAGCCAAGTCTGGGAGTTGATTTTCTTGTTTATATATTATATACCTAAAGATTGTGGTATGATTTTCACCATAAGGCATGTGGACTAGTACAGCATTCATGACTGTGTTTTTCTAAATATTATTAGCCTGCCATAGTTTAGGAATATCTGGGTGTCATGCTGTAGAAGATAACAGATTCAACAGACTTTTGAGGCTCAAATTTTGAGTAAAGAAGAGGCGCTCAAGTGAGTAAATCTGAGAGCGGGCATTATGCACGTTTTAAGAATGTGAAATGAAAAGGGAACTTCTGAAAAGGAAAATACAGGGAGAAATAGCAGAGCACAAGATATTGAAACCAGAAAAGCAGCACCTGGGTGGACCTAGCCCAAGCCAGAAAGAGAAAACCAGTAGATGTGACTGAGTGGTTCTGCTGGTTGTTTTCCCAAGGAGTTGTAGGGGCGTCCAGCCAGGCAGTTGCTGCTGGCACAGCAGTGACGTGACACTGCCTGTACCATGGCAGTAAGGAGCTGGTCCAACACCTGAACAGAGCTGCTCATTTGGTGGCTGCTTCTCATTGTGAGTTTCTTAGGCACTTGCATTTGTTCCTCAGTTTTGCCACTGCAGAAGCAGGAATTCCTCTTTTATGTCCTTACCTCAAGTTCCTGAGCTTGCGGCATCTCACGTCTCCTTCTGCGGGTGTCTGTAGTGCTTCCTGAACGGTACTGTGAACTTCTTGATGCTGCAAGAATCAAGCGGGTCAAAAGGGATTGAATGCTTGTGGAACTCCTCGCTGCTCTTTGATGCGCACTTGCACGTGAACGCTTGGACCAGCCCTTTAACAAGAACTCAAAGTGCACCAGCTGGCATGTTTGTTACCCAGAAATTTATGTCAAGTAAAACATTACATATCCAGCGAGCATGTTTCTATCTTTTTTTTACTTTTTTTTCTTTTTTTTTTTTTAATGCAGGTGTTATTTATATAATGTTTTTCATAAAGTCTGGCTTCTTAATGTTTATCAGCAGAGGCATTAGGACCGCCTTGCTTTCCCTTGTACTCGTTAGCAACAGCAATCCGAGCACCCAGCGTATTACAAAGATTTCTAGAAGTAAAATTGAACATCACATTGGAGAGAAGCTGGGTGGGGGTCATGGGAGTTGGGTCTGTCCCACACGTGCTCGAGCACACTGACCCCCACGTACCCCTCGGGGGGCACAGCTCTGCAGCCACCCCGATCCCAAGTGCTAAAAGTTTAGGTTTGTGTAGAGCTTGAATTATTTAGAAGCTTGGTATTCACAAAACTACAATCTCTCTGGACTCAACTGCTCCAGTTTCTCTCAAATTCAAGACAACCTCCAAACCCTTCTGTACTGCTGGTTTTGGTTTTGTTTTGTTTTAAACTATTTGCTATGTTGCTTTTTGTACAAGTGATATGTGATTCCATAATGCTAGAAACTCCCCTGCTCACTTTGTGGTCTTCTTGCTGTCCCCAGCCGAGTCACAGGGCAGCTGCAGCAGGGATGAGTTGGGGAATTGGTCATTTCTCTCTTTCCCATTCACTGGAGTGAGTCTGTTTCCCACAGAGGGCATGGGTAGGGCCTTTTCAGACCATGTAAAACTTCCAGGCTGTTTTCAGTGAATAAGCAAGACTTTACATGCTCCTAGTTAAATTATTTCATCATCTGGGCAAAATCTTGGGTGTCTTCATTCACTGAGGGAATGACTGCAGGTCTCCAGGACAGCCTCAGTGCTCTTAGCGAGGATTGCAGAGACGTGGGAAGCAGAGAGCACACTCCTGTAGCAACATATTCTGCCTTAATCCAGTTTAGAGGAGAAATGCAATTTAACTTCTGATCCTTCATTCCTCCCAGAACTACAATTGAATTTCTTTTTATATACTGAAGAAAGTTCTTCTAGAAATCAGCTGTTAGTTTAAGAGATGTTCATCATACATAAATGCTGCTGGCCTTTGAAATCCATCCCTTCTTGTGGGGCAAAGATAACGCTGAGCTCTTGTAAAATTGAAAAGGTTAAGTGAGAGAGGAGCTTGCCTTCTAGCAGGAAAGTTGCTGTGTCCAAGGCCAGGACTGACCAGTACCACTTGCATTATTTTTGTTCTCATTTGGTGCATCCGGATGCAGTTCCAGTGAAATGCCACAGCAGACGCATGCAATTAGCAGAGGAGAAAAATCCTTCATATTAAACAAAACACCTTGTTGGAAATAATATTAATAATAATACAATAATAAAGCTTTCATATGAGTAGAAAGCACATTTGCAGTATTGAGTTTACAGTGGGCTTTCTGACCTGCCACAAAACTTCTGGAAACCTTTAATGTGATTTTGAGTTCTTTTACTCATTAGCATAACTTATGGTACATAGGTTCTGTCTGCAAGCGTGGGTGTCAGCTATAGGCCATGTGTTACCTGTGTGCTGTGTGGTAGGCAGACACTGAACTGCAAAGTAGTAGAAAAGTAGAGAAGCTAAAGCACTTTGTTCCTCAGCTCCGCACACTGAGACGGGACCTGAAGTAGTTGAGTGGGAGAGATAAATAAGAACTGACTCCATAAACGTGTGATTTCATATCAGCCAGTAACCGTGCCAGTGGCGATTGGTAATTCAGCAGCCTTATAACAAATAACCATGCACTAAAGCCCTTCTGTTCCTCAGAGAACCTGGACAGAGAGGGGTACCAGGAGCACAAGCCTTGGCCTCCCAGGGTGGCCCCTGATGCCTGTGGTGGCCTTGGCGAGTTGGTGACCTCTCTGCCTCAGTTACCTCATCTGTAAAATGGGGATAATAATACTTACTTACCTCGCAGGGAGGCGTGAGGGCTTCTTAGTTAATGTTTCTAATACACTTTTAACCTGGAAAGAGTTGTGTAAGTATTATTATAATTTTTACTATTATATCAGCTTATTTGACTCGCATGGTATCACTGGTTATACCATGGTATTTCTACTTTTTTATATAACTTTAGTAATTCTACTGAAACCATTTGAAGAAAAAATAAAAACAGATCTGATATGTTTCTTACAGAATCTGGAGTACAGCTTTTGCTAATGGGGGTCCGGGTGCGTGTGCTGCTGGTGTGGGTCAGCTGCACTTCCCTCTTTTCCATTACTGAGATTTCTACGTGCAATGTAAAAATTCCGTGTAAATGGAAGTCTTAGCAGAACTGACCTTGTAGGGCATGATTCCCTATGGGTAAATAAAGTCAGCACAGCTGTTTTGTAGTAATGTTTATACTGACTCCTGTTGAAGGAGGAGCGCTTTTTGTTACGCAGCTGGTCCATCCATGACAGTTTAATTCCATTGATGCTTTAATGTTTTCCTGTTGTATATCCTCACCCTTTTCTTTTGCTTACATGTGACACCACAGTTCAAATCTAAAAGCAAATCACCACCGTAGTTGTTATTTTTGTTCCATTCGTGTCCATTGACCAAAAAGTGATCGGCAGCCAATTATTAATTCTAATCAGTGGAGTATAGGAAAAGTAGCAGCAGCACTGACAGCTGGCCCCAACCTGCTTCCATTGGGGTCGCCGTGCTGGGTCTCCACCGGGTTTTGGCAGGAAGCCCCCCGGGTTCGCTGGCAATGTGTCTGGCTGCCCGGCTGTGGATGCTTCCAGCCCATGGCAGCAGATCTGGCCGCGTGGTCAGCCCTTAGTGCAGGGCATACTGCAAAGTCTACAGCTGACATTATGGTTTTTATAATCATGTAGGTGGCAGGAACGTTTTCATAGGAAGATTAGGTTTCTGAGGTTCATAAGCCTTTTCCCATGAATCATTTGACTTGGCATGGTTGCATTTATTGCCTTCCCATGGGAGCAGCAGAGGCAACGCTGCTGACAGTGGTGGCACCACGGCACAGTCCTTGCAGAGGTCAGAGCACTCCTGTCCTGGAGCAAGGCAGCACCCACGGGTGCCTGGAGCCCAGTCTGTGCTTCGGGGCTGTCCTGGAGCAGAGACTGGTGCTGGGAAGCCCCAGCCCCACACAGCAGAGCCTGTGCAGTTGTGATTCCTTACAGTAGCATGGCCTCCAGTCCCAGGGAAGGCAGCAGGGCTTGCACACTTGGCCGCCTTGCTGACTTGGGGCACGCAAAAATGTTCTCGCAGTGATAACACAAACTTCAACCAGGGGGTGGTTGCCCACAAAGCCTTTCATTTCTTCTCTCTTGAACTATTACAATGAATGTAAGAAAAATAATGTCAACAAACTGAAGCTTGTTGCCTCCTTTAAAAACACTTCGGGCAATCCCAACACGTGTACGATTTTGCACGACAATACAGAGTACACCTGAAATGTTTAAAATGATTGCATGTTATTTTAATGTTACCTTTTTAAAAAAAAAGAAATAATATTACCTTGAACTCATTCATATTTTTGATTGTTATTTTAAGACCCACATTTTGTATTTATAAAGAGGAGAACATTATTTATTTTCTCATCATTTATCTGCAAGATGCTACTAGAAAATTTGGAGACACCATTAATTAAAAAAAAAAAAATCAAAAAAATAATTGGAAGTACAGTGGGCAAGACTGATGTATAAATTATAGCATCTTTTTTTTTTTTTCTTAATTCTCAATATCCTCAATCTTTGTTTGCATGAAATGCTTTTGTTAAATATTAATTGTAGTTTCAAAGCAAGTGTGTATGAATAAAAATACTTACCATTACTTTGTGAGAGTTTGCTCTGTTTTTTGGGGGATTTCATCTCAAAACCCACTCCGCGGAGGCTCCAGCAGTCATGGTGTGATTGGCCCCAGAGCTTGCACAGGTGCACACCTTGATCAGCAGTGACTTGAAGTGTTGGCGCACAGAGTTTTAGCCTGGGCTCTTTTTTAAATTCCTGGTAATAATTCAAGAGAAAAAGAGGCTTAACTGGGAAAAGGGTGTGTAAGGTCAGCAAATCTGTTACAAGTAGCAGAGTTATTTAAAAAAAAAAAAAAAAAAAAAAAAAAAAAGGAAATAGGTGTGGAAGAACAGAGATTTCCACTTGCAGGGGCCATGGGCTCCTGGCCCCACCAGCTGTACTTGCCCTGAGCCTGGGCACTCCCCCTGCCAAGGCTGATCTCATTTTGTTTTCAGATTTTGAAAGCAAAGTACAAATGCCATGACAACTTGATGGACAAATTCTTTTTCTGCTTGCTCTCAAACGTATTGCATCTCCTGCTAATTCAATAATTGGGTTAGTTTAATTTGCAGAAAAATCTGGCTGAGTTTGCCCAAAGGAATGGAGGAATGGTTGAAATCTTTTTTTTTTTTTTTTTTCTCATAGAGACAGCATTTCCAGGCTGCTGCACGCTGCTCAGCCTTCCTCTGGCAAGTACAGCTTCTCCTGCAGCCCATGCAGCTCTCCTTGCTCCCACCTTGGGAGCTTTTTGCAGAGCACCAGAGGGAGCTGGTGCAGGGCAGCGCTGCTCTGAGCTGGTTCAGATGCCCAGCACAAGCAGAAATAAGTCCTTAGGGCTCCATGCTGCCGTGCCCGGATCCCTCCCAACCCCTTGGCTGTTCAGCCAGGGGCTGGTGGGATTTCCACCCGCCAGGCTCATCCATGGGGAAGGCAGGCACAGGTGGAAAACTGCAGCCTGCTGCTGCTACCTGTGGTGGCACCTGAGGTGCAGTAGGTGCAAAGCTCGACCTGGCTGGTTTCATCTGACTTCTACACAGGGCTAATGTGCTCTCTACCCTGGAGTGCTCCTAGCACACCATGCTCTGTAAATCACAGCAATTACCAGTGGCCGGCTGAAAGCACGTCCTCCCTCTCCCTCTCCCCCGCCTGGCTTCTCTTTAGAGATTGGGGTATTTGGTTTAGCGATCTCCAAATATTTTTACAGTGCTGGTACGTGAGCAGCAAATATAACCACCTCTCCCGAGAACTGCTAGGGTAGCTAAAATGCTGGTTGCATTAATTACTGTGAGGTAATTATAATCCCACCCAGTTTTTCAAAGGCAACCCTCACTGCTGGGCTGAGAAAAAAACGAGTGAAAAATGAGTGAGCCCCATGGAGCCGTGGTAAAGCAAAGACAAATCAAGGAGGGACCCAGATGAGGGCTGCTCTTGCCAGGTGAGGATGGGCTGACCTCGAAGGGCTCTTTTCCCCAGGTAAATCAGGCAGGTGTCACCTTCCCACCATGCTGCTACACCCAGAGAAATGGGGAGGGATCTGGCCAGGAGCAGGCAGTAGCAAGGCTGCAGCCACAGAGCTACCTGCAAGGGTTTTGTGTGTGTGTGTTTGTCCTGTGTTTCCTGAAGGAGAGGACAAAAGGAGGCAGATCTCATGGGAAATGAATCAATGCTGTCTCCTTCCAAAGGGATTTGCTGTATTTGCTGCCAGGGTGGCGGTGTCGGCCCCCAGCTGCCACTTCACGTGCCCGTTACTGGTCCCTGCATCAGCACCCTGCATCCTGCCCTGGGAAACTTGCATGACCTAAGGAATGGTGGAAAAAAAATCCCAAAATAATTTAAAGTACAATATCTTATTGAGGAAAAAAAAAAAAATATGGAAAGGTTGCCGAGAAGTGTTTGATATCTTATTCTCACCTGACAAGGCTGTCAAAAATCACCATCCGTTCTTTCTGCCACTGGTGCTGCAGAGGCAGTGATTCACATGCTCGGGATGAATTTCCCTTCGCTCTGAGGGGCCCAGCAGCACAGGAGCTCCGATGGGAGCAGAAGAAATCCATCTGCTCCCCTGAGGAAATGGACGTGTGGCTGTCTGCTGGCTGGAAGGGGGGTTCATATCATTTAGGGTATTTGATCTGTGCAGCTTGTTTCTACATGACTGGTGGTTTTGTCCCTGTTCCTGGAGGCTTTTTCCCACACATTCCTCCTCTCATGCATGTGTGTTTTACCAGGCTGTACCCAGGGGATGCTCAGAGGGATTAGGACACTCAGATTTTGTAGCAACATCTGAGCTGCTGGCATTGCACAGCCAGGCCTGTTTGCAGGGATCCGCCTTGTTGGTAAACTTCACTTATTCTCTATTTTTCACTTGCACGTGCCTCCAGGAAGCCCAGCTAGCTGGCAGCCCCCACACAAACCCCTTGTTTCTCAGGCTGCGAACGTGGGACCACAGCTCTGCAATTTGTTGTTCAGCTTTGAGAACTTGATCCACCCCCTCTTATCACACTCCTCTACCCAGAGCACTTCATGCAACTCAGGGCCTGTAACAGGTAGGCTTCCTAACCCATATAAAACACTGCAAGTTATATTCAAGTTCCTTAAAGCTTCAACATTTTCAGTGGCAGAGACACTCTTCTTTTAATAGGATTCATTTACTCTTCACACAAATGTAACTGTGTCTGAGACACTGAGTAGGTGTGATTTCAAAAAAAAAAAAATCAACTGGAAATTGTTATAAAAGCCACCAGCAGTGACTGCAAGGGCAGAAAGCGGGAAAGAGCCTGGGCCAGCAATAACAGCATCCCCAAACTCCTTGGCTTAGTGCCTGGTCCTTTTGGGATAAGTCATTTAGTGTGCTTGTGCCTGACTGACCCTAACATCATTAAAAGATTGGTAACAAGTTCCAGTGTCCTGCCTGCTGGCCTGGGGCCACCGTGCGGGATGCAAGCAGCTGAGATGCCGGGACAGAACTCCAAATTGGCACCTCCTCATCTTTTATTAGCTCCAATTAGTCCCATATGATTACAGAGGGTGTTTTATTTTAATAAAGCGTGTAACTTCCGTTCACACGTGCGCCTTTGTTGTTCCGTGAGTCAGAGCCCCTCGGGGGGGCTGTCTATGAAAGGCTCCACACTTCATTTTTTTAAGCTTTCGCACAGTGTGTGGGTGCAGAGCTAAAAATAACGTTGCACCTCTTCTTGCACTTCCTCCTGAACAGCTACGAGGGGGCTGCTGGCTGAGCCCGAGGGATGTGCAAGGGAAGCAGTGAGCTGAGCCCCAGCTCCAGCAGCGCACGAATGCTGATGCCTTTAATTTAGCGACGGCGTGAGCGGCATGTGAAAACCCTCCCCAGAGACTGGGGAGGAGCTGCTGTCCTTCGGTGCCATGAATTTCCCTTGTTCCCTACTTTCAGTGTTGGAAAGATTTAAAAATGAGGCTGGGGTAAGGAGCAGCGATCACACAAGCGGGCGCTGCCTCGTAGCACAGCTCCCAAGGCCGCATCCTGCTTGCACAGGAGCCGCGGCTGCAACCAGGACCAACACCCCAAACCCAGGCTGCAAACATTGCCAAAGCTCATGGAAGGAGAATATCTCAGAAGCCTCCATTTTGAGCGTTTCCCAATCTTCTCAAGCTGCAGCAGGGATGGCAGCGGGTTCCCTGAGGAGCCAGGGCTGCCACTCGCCTCCTCCACCATCTCCACAGGCCTCACCCCGCCATGCGGCCTACAGCGCGGCAGAAATAGCAGGCGCTGAGGCAGCTGGCAGGGAGCGCCGGTCACCTCCCACACAGGCACAGCAGCTTCAGCATTGCTTTGCCACTTCGTTGCCGCTACCTGCTCCCCTTCCTCTTCCCTCAGGCAAACGCCGGAATTTTTGGCTGGCACAGACTTTTTCCTTCCCGCACCCAAAATGCTGCTTAAACCCTGCTGCGCAAAGCCCGGTGGTTGGTAGCACATGGGACCTCTATGAGACTGATGCTCCTGAGCCAGCACAATCCACTGTGTAGTCAGGAGCAGTCACCACAAGTAACATCAAATCCATCTAGAGCTTTCTCTCCCAGTGTAAGGATGGTGACACCATCAGCCCCTGAGGAACTGCTCGTTTCTGACCGCAGCAGGTGTCTCTGTGCATTGCACTAAATGAAGGGTCAAAGCCAGCTGTGATCATTTGGCTGGTGTGTTACCAGCTGCACCCTGGCTCACCAACAAATGGGACCTCTGGCCCATCCCAAACGCTGCCAGCTCTGATATCTGTGGAGCCACACGATTCCAGGCTGGTTCTGAATGTGCTGGGGAAGGTAGCTCCAGCAGCGCACCGGCTGGCTGAGCTGTGTTGCATCCCCTCACCTGCACACCCCAACCACAACACCTCCAGTCCCTGGGGCTGCAGGGCATGGTCCTCACTCTTGTGAAGGGGAGCAGAGGGGCAGAGAGAGAATTGAAGTGAGAAATAGTAAACAGTGGTGAAGTTAAAGGGAATCTGCTCCAAAAATGCTGAGGTGGTACCATCTCACCACAGTGCTCAGTGGGTATTAAAGCAAACCAAGAAAAAGCAATAAAATAAAATAAAATAAAAAGACAATCCTGTTGCTGTAGGATTTGGCAAAGTCCTGCCCCAAAGTTTGGAGGATGCTGAGAGGACACAAGGTGCCAATCGCCCTGCCTGGGACTGCCATGCCAAGCAGACAGCCAGCAGAAGAGATTTCCACCACAACCTCACCACTTTATGCAGTCAGCAAGGAGATGTTGTTAGAGGGAAGGAATTACAGAGGGCTGCTGGTGAGGTAGGAGATCTCAGCTGTGCTTCTGGGGCTGCACAGGGTGTTTGGGTGCCCTCCCACAGCCCGGTCCTGGTGCCCTGGTGGGAACTGCTGGCGGTGTGAGCGCTGCACGAGATGAGCAGCAGTGGAAAATCCATCTGAGTGTTTTAGCCTAAATACGTTTGCATTGAAGCAGAGGGGGGGAAAAAAGAGACTGAGGCCCAAAATGTGTATTTCTAATTGATTATATGCATGGCTGCTGGGGACCTCTTACACTGTAATGGTTAATTATGTCACTGGCTGCATGCACTGCAGCCTCTATTTGTATTGTATTCAAATAACCCTGCCCGGTGCCCAGGCAGCTAATATAGCAGATTGCCTTTCTGGAGAAAAATGGGATTGGTTTCGTTTGCTTCTTTCTTTTGTGTTGCATTGTTTTCTTTATATCACTTTAAAAAAGAGAAAAGAAAAATTATGAACTTCAGCCAATTACTGCATTAAAATAATGTCCCTGACAGAACATGATGAACATCCAGGTCTAACCTGCTTCTTGCAGCTGTGTGATTTCCCTGGTAATTCCCTGCTGATCAGCTCCACCCCAGGGAGCCTCCTCCTGGGGGGCTGTGTGGGGACCTCCCCAGGAGGGCATCACCTCTTCTGCCCCCTTTTTCCAGCACAGGACCCGTGCTGCTGACCGAGTGCCCTCTCTGTCCTTCCTGGCCATCCCCAATGGATTTACTGCCTTCAGTCCTCCTCAAATGCGAATGAAAGGTGTCTGAGAGGCATTTTCTGTATTAGGCTTCACCACATGGCTGGAAAAAATCAAAACTTACACACCTGCATCAGCTTTTGTTATTGCTGTAAATCAAAACAGAGCTCAACAAGCCAGAGCACACAGCTCCATTGACTTCAAACCAGCTATCTAGCCAACACCTCCTCCGCATCTCATATCTCACTTTATTCTGAATTATTCCATCAGGATATTTATGCTTCACTAGGTAAGGACGTGGCGGGCAGAGATGTGACACGCTGCAGCAAGAGTGCTGGGAACCAGGGAAGCGTGGTTGAGGTAAAAGCAATGTATGGGCAAAGTTGTGCAGAAGCTGTGACCAAGTATTTATTAGAGACTGCATTTATTAGACTTGTAATTAATGAATTGCTTTTGTTTTTTTCCTGCTGGGAGACCTCAGGGGTGCCTTCCCTTGGGGCCACACCATGGAGCTGCTGCCCTGCTCTGCTGCCGCAGCCAGTACGGGCCAGAGGAGCTCCCCAAAGCCCTGTGCAAGGGGAGCTCCGGGGCCAAATTTGTCACTTGCCCCTAAGCCTCCTGTGCTGCAGTGGCAGCACACCCAGCAGTGATCACCTGCGTGCATGGCAGGGGGCACCTGCATGGCCTGTGACCCCCTTCTAGTCCTCCCCGCTGGGACTGAGGAAGTGTCCCATCGCTGGATACCCAGACAGAGCCATGTCCTTATTCCCAGCTCCGCCGTTAATTTTCTGTATTCTGGCTGAATCACTCAGTCTGGCGAAGGTTTCCAGGGCCCGCAGCATCTGCCCCTTTGTCCCTCTCTCCTTTAGCCCTGGCTTTCTCCCTGCCCCGGCCTGAGTCCTGCCAAGTTGGCTTTCTCCAGCATGCTGGCTTTCTGCCCACCAATCCTCCCTGTTGTCTGCCATGTCCTCGGATGTGGCTTTGTGTGACACTGGTGGCAGCAGCCAGATTTCCCTTTCCCAGTTCCCAGACGAGTGTGTCCTAGGCAGCGCAGCCCTCCCCACACTGCTGGTCCCAGCCCAGGGGGTCCTGGAGTGCACGGAGGGGCAGGGGCAATGCTGGGTCCCCGATGGAGGGGCTGGGGACAGATGGGGAGGAGGGAGAAGGGATGGAGGGAAAGGAAAAGAAGGGGGAAGAAGGGATAGGGGGAAAAAAAAAAAAAAAGGATGAGGGGGGGAAAAATTACAGGCGGTGGGGTAAAAGGAAAGGGAGAAAGGGGATGGAGGGATGAAGAAGGAGGGATAGAGGGGAGGGAGAAAAAGGAATAGAGGGGAGGGAGGGAGGGAGGTGGAAGGAAGGATGGAGAGCGGGAAGGAGGGATGGAGGGAGGGGGAGTGGAGAAGGAGGGAGGGGAAGGAGGGAGGGATGGCTGGAGGAAGAGACGGAGGGAGGGAGGAGGGGAGGGAAAGGGGGCACGGAGGGAGGGAGGGAGGTGGGCTGGCCCCGCCGGCGCCATGTGATGCCCTCCCCTCCTCTCCCCGGGCTCTCCCGGCACGGCACGGCACGGAGCAGCCCCGGGGCCGGTGAGTGCCGGGGATGGGGGCACCGGGAGGGGGGAATGGGGGAACACGGGGGTGATTGGGGACACGGAGGGCATGGGGACACGGGGGGACCCTTCCCATGCCGCCCCTGGTGGGCACTGGGGCGCACAGCCCTGCGCCCTTCGCGGGGCTCCCCGCGTTGGGTGGGAAAACCAAAAAGTTTAATGCCGAGCAGAAGGCTGGGGGGGGGGCTGGGGGTGGGGATCGGGTACGGGCGGCAGGTTGTAGGGGATCGGTACCGTTATTTTCCCCATCCCCGTCGGGGTGGGAGCTGTCCCTCCGGAGCTCCCCGGGGGCTCAGACCCTGCTGCGGGGCTGTGCCGGGGGTCCTGGCACCCACAAGGTGCCCGCAGCCTCGTGTGCCCTCCTGCCTGGCTCTGGCCCAGCAGCGATGGGACCTTTGGGTGGCACACGAGCCCCGTCTGAAAGCCCCACGGTGGACTTAGCACGCCACAAACCCATAAACCCAGGCTCTTTACCCCAGTGCTGCTTCTCTTCCAGGCTGAGCAGGGACACGGGGATGCTGTGAGCATCCCTGGGCTTCACCCAAGACTTTTGGACATTGATCTGGGGGAAAGAAGTGTGTTTTTCACAGGGAATATAAAATCCACTGGAAGTCGTGGGCTGCCAGTGGTTTCCAGTGCAGCAACCCCCTTGGAGAGGGCAGTGTGAATTCACGTGAGGCTACGTGACATAAATCTGACCTGGTTGTTAAGTGAAGTAAAGTAGAGGGGGAAAAAAATTGCTGGATCATGGGTTGCCATATGAACAAGCGAATGGGGATGTGAAGCCAGTCTTCACTTCTCCTCACACCACTTATTCATATCCAGCGAAAGGTGGTGACACATGAAATGTGATATTTCAGCCACCAGAGCAGTGAGCAGAGAGGGTTTCTGACACGCAGCTTGGCTGTTGATTAATTGCTTGGCATTTGGTGAAACTTCATCAGCCCCCGACGTGTGGCACTTTTGGGGTTGTGGCTTCCAGGCGTGATACAGCAGGAGGCTCCCTGGTGGTGTCCCAAGCCCAAAGGGTCTGACTTGTCCCCATCGCTGTCCTTCACACACCCCAGCCTCCTTGGGGCAGAGGGCACCAGGCTGGTAGGTGGCCTGCATGGTGCAGGCAAGCCTTGGGAAGGGCAGCGAGGGCATTGAGGTCACTGGAAGCAGCACAGCTCCAGCAAGGGCACTGGAAAGCAGAACTGGAGCTGAGTTCTGCGCAGTAACAGCAGGTGCCGGTGGCGTGACCCCAGCAGGCAGCTTAGATAGGGGACCATCCCCCTGTCTCCATCTCATCTGCCCACCAATTTCATGTGCTGCTGAATTTTAGGGGCAGTTTCAAAACCTTCATGAGCCACAGAAAAAGCCAAAGGGCTGGGGGTGGCTCCCAGCAGCCTGTCTCGCTGCCGTCTCACCTTCCTCTCGTCCAATGTGCGGCGGTTCCCTGTGGCATCCAGGGACAGGGAAGGTTCTGTGCGCTTGCTTCTCCTGTTCTTGTATTTCTGTAGCTGCTGAATATATTCAGTGAGCTGAATGAATCCCCATCTGGCAGCATCTGTCCTGCAACATTTGCAGCTTCAGCTTCTGTTATGGAGAGGGAAGGGAATAGAAGATAAGAAAGGGAAATAATTCACAAGCCCACAGAGGCTTTAGCAGTATCGGCGAGCTGTGATCTGCGCAAGTGTACAGCTACAGAAAGCACCGGGAGCTTTTTCATAAGCCAGCTGGAAAGATTTAAAGCCCTGGTTTCAGGGTGGCATTTTTTAAATAATTAGGTGATGGAGCCTAGGTCCTGGTTTCAAAAGTTACCTGTGAGTCTTAATCTTGCTGCAATTAAAGGAGGTTTGGGTTCCAGGTGTGTTCTGGGAATGCGATTTGGAATAAAGTCACATCAATTTTTACTGCTGCTCAGCCACAAGATTCTGACATTTACAGTAAAATATTTACTGGGAACATGGGATTTGTCCAAGAGCCAAGCTAATGCATTGTCAGGCTCAGAAAATGTGCTGTTACAGGTGAGTGAGGTTTGTAGCCGGTCCCTTTGGGGGATGGGACTTGCTGCTTTTCCTTTATTATAAAGATTTATCGCTGCTCACTGGTGAAAAATCTTGCTGGAGTGGTGCTCAGGGCCGCACTGAGGGGGCGTTGTGTGGGCAGATGGCAAGCACTGACCCAGGATAACTCGCAGGTGATCCATTTTCCCACTCTGTGCAGGGCCAGTGCTCCTGGGAAAATCCACATCCACGGGGACCAGTCAGCAAGGATCAGGGATGGCAGAGCTGGGAGCACGGCAGGTTGAGGCTTCCCACCTGGTGGCAATCAGGAAGTTGGGTGGAGAAGGGAGGGAGGTCTCTGAGCAGGTTCAGCTATTAAAGGCAGAGGGCAAACTCAAAATCAGCAGCAGAGGCTGGTGCCGTAACGTCAGGCCTAGGTGAGATGTTCCCACTGGTGTGCCGTGGATTAGGAGGAGATGAAGCTTCACCTAGTGGAGAATTAGAAAAGAGGGAAAAAGGCAAAAAAACAAAATCACCACCCATTGCTTACACACATGCAGATCAGAAGAGTTTTCCGGTGTTCCTGTTCCCAGGACAAAGTCACTCAGCGGGTGCTGTGTCCCATGCAAAAGCTTTGCCCTCGGCATTGCCAAAGTGCCCAACCTGAGCAGTGTCTTTGCTTTTGTTTCTTGCCATCCTCGGCCCTGCTCTTATCCCTGGTTCCTGCTGCTGTGGCAGCTCGGCTGTGGTGGCTCTCGGGGGGATGTTCAGAGCAGCACTGACCTGATGGTTGGTAGAAAATGGTCCTCTCTCCCAGCTACGTTGGGACACCCTGGAAGAAGCAAGGCAGCAAACCTGACCTAGGAAACTGGGTGACTTGGAAAGTTGCACTAAGTCGTCCTGATGCTGGAGCTGCTGCTTGGAAGCAGCTTTCCCTCTGGCAGTATGGAGACGGTGGGCTACAGGCAGGAAGCAAATCTGCACAAAACTGCCCTTTTTCCAAGCGAAGTGGGGATGGCTGAAGAGGAAAGCGACCTCCCTGGGTCACTGCCGTGTGTGCCAACTGTCCTGCAGGAACCTGCAAAACACCCTTCAGACTGAACAGAGTGGAAAACATCAGATCATGCAGAGGTGGAGGAGAGGCGCTGCAGGAACAAGCGGTGATGTTACGGAGGGAGCGTTTGGACAGGAGCAGGGTGCAGGTGAAGACCACCTCCATGCACTCAGACCAAGTTTCACCTGCTGGAGGTGCTGGCCACGGAGGGGTGACACCGAGCCTCTCCCCCAGCTGCTCCCACAGATGTCGTCCCCAGGCTGGGCTGGGCCCCCCCAGCCCCGCTCCTCCAGCCCCACTGCTGCTGCCTGGGCGCAGGCTGCTGTGTCCTGCGTGGTTTTTCCCTATCCTCTCTGCTGGGTGTTCAGCTACAGCCCGGCACTGGCAATGAATTTTTGCTAAAATCAGAGCATTGGAAAGCTTGCCACCAACAGATGTGGTGTAAATGATTATTATTTTCTTCATTATCACATAACCTCCTTATTAAACCCAACAAGCCACGCAAGGCAAAGACCTTCCCTGTGTGAAGACGGGACCAAACTTCTGCAGCAGCTCCGTGGCTGAACGTGAGGACTTGTACACCCAGACAACACCCCAGGTGTATCAGAAACTGGGTCCTGAATTCCTCAGTATTTGGTAACCAGGTTTAATGACAGCTGCTAACGGCCTTTCAGATGGTCATCCGAGGTGTGGATATTGCAGCCCTTCTCTTTCTTTATGGGATGTTTCGGAACTCAGAGGCTTTGTGGCAAAGCTGGGACAGGCAGGTCTCTGCAGCCAGCACACACACAGCCTGCGCATCGCACCACTGCCTGCAGCCTTCCTCACTCAGAGGTGAAAATGGTGCTTGGGGGATTCCTTGCTTTGTCTCACTTATCGTATGGAAAATATCCACAGGAGCCGTGCAGCCGTGGGCGCTGCGGAGGAGAGCTGCGTGTCGGGGAGCTCCCGCAGCTGCCTGTGCAGGTACCGGGATCGCCTCTCCCAGCACAGGCACGGGGGAGGCAGAAGATTTGCTCCTGATGCTATTTTTTCCTCCCAGCGCTGCTTAATTTAGCTCAGGCTGTCACACACTGCCATTAAGGGGAGAAAAAGGAAACGGGGGTGCTGGCCCCGCTCCGCTCAGCAGCGGCTGGAACCTGGGCTCGTACCTGGGGCTTGTCCTCAGATGTCCTGCAGCAGTAAAAGCTCGCAGCCCAGGGAAGCTTCCTGCAGTCGTGTTCATAACTCATGGTGCCTGCAGGGTAGAGGGAAAACCTTACACTGGTACGTGCTCTCTGTCCATACCCACCTCAGTTTAAAACATGTATATCTTACAGAAAAGGTGCCCAAGATCTTTAGCTGCGTGACCTGCCTTGCTGCTGGAAGGACACAGAGACACTGAAAAGCTGTCATATGCAAGGAAGAGATTTCTTCTCTTTTTAATACACAAGACTGTTGCAGGATTTCATACCATCCTAAATGACAAGTGGAAGTGCACACAAACCAACTGTTAGAGATCCAGTATTTCACCCCGGTCCCGCGGTGAGCTGGATGCCCATGGCTGAGCCAGCTGCTCTGCCCCAGCGGCTGTGTATGCAGGAGATCACGTTGCCATCATTTATCTGTGCTGCTGCCTTTCCTCAGGCTCCATCCGTGCCAGCCAAGGTGAGCTGAGGGGAGCACCAAGCTGAAGCCAGAAGAGGGTCACAGGATCATCAGGTTGCATCAATTGCAGCCAGTGATTTATGGCATGCAGAAGTTAATGGGCAAGCACAGCTCCACATGACACTGCAATGAGATTTCTGCTCATCTTATAGCAAAGTCCCCAGCTGATCTGCTTTGCAGTGCTAAATATCCCCGCTTTGTAGCTCTTTGTAGAGGATAGAAGCCAGTGGTTTGGGTCGTGTCCCCAACGGGGAGCACTGACACAGTGCAGTGGGTGACTAATGGGTGCCAGCTTTCATATGCAGGGGGTGGAAGGGTGTTGGGAAGGGTCCAGTAAGGAAAGGTGTCAGTTATTGCTAATGATAGAAACTTTGAAAGTGTATATACACACCGTTTGTTCCTCAAGAACAGGAGTTGAGTGCATGGGCAATATTCCAAGCTCTGTGCTTCACCTCCTATTTCCCTCCTGAGAAACACATTTCATGTGCTGCTTTCCTACAAAACCACAGGGTCGGAGCTGCAAGACCTGCCTGCCATCTGCCTGTCCCCGTGTCCCAGCCTTGTGCCACCCTCATGTGAGTAAGTTCGGGGCAGAGAGCCTCTCCCGTGGCCCCAGACCTTCACCAAAGCCTCACTGTGTCCAGCTGCTCCCGAGCACCGTGCAGCCAAAGCACTGGCTGGGGCCCCCTCCTCGCTGCGAGCTCCCCTCCTGCTCTGCCAGCACCTGAGCTCAGAAGCAAACATCGCTGATTTTCCCCTTGTGACAACATTGCTTCGGCTGGTATTAAAAGAGGTAAGAGCTGTAAAAAGCAGAGGAGAAATGAGGCACGCGGGCGCTGCCGCTAGCAGGGAGGAGATGCTCGGTGGGAGGTTTTGGGGGGGGATATTTGTGGGTCCTGAAAGACTGAGTGAATGAGTGTGTGCAGACGGGCTGTGCTGGGGCCGGGGGGGCCATTCAGTCGATGGTTTTATTTGTTGGAAGTCGCTGGCATCATCCAAAGCCATTAGTGTGAATGAGCTGGAACAGAGCCAGCGCTTCAGCGAGCGTGGCGGCGCGGGCACGGCGGAGGCGGCCGTTTCGGGAAAGCATCTGGTTAGAGGTCTGGGGCTGGGAGGTAAATCTCAGCTGCTGCTCCTGTGACCTTGGGAATATCGTTTTATCTCCTTGTCTATGGTTCTCAACCCGAAGGTGGGCTCAGCTGCAAATCTGGTCCACACAGAAAGGGCAGTTAAAAGACAAATCCTCAGTAACCCCATCATAAAATTTGTCACTGGTGACCATTAACAGTGTGTGGCAGCCGCAGATTTTAATCCTAATTGTTTTTCAGGTGTTCCTTGTGTCTGATGACAAGCAAAAAATCGATAGGATTATCAGTGGTGGGACTTAAGCTAGACTTTAACTCATAACCAGTCTTCCCCATTTTTTTTTTTATTTTTTTTTTTTAACAAACAAACAACTCTCTTAAGAGCCTGTGAGCCCAGCGTGCTTGATTGAGTCAATGCTTGTGTTTCTACCCCGCTGTAATGGCTATGCACCGTGCCGGGCTGGCAGCGCAGCACCACTGTTTGCAGCCAAGGGAAGCTTTCAAGTCCAGTATTGATTCTTTTGAAGTTTATGGCTGCTGGATAGAGCAGTTACTAGCGTTTGTTCACACTGCCATGAGCTGGACTGCTTCATTTCTTAATATCGGGCTAAACCTCCTCCACATCTAGAAGATTTATTTCTGTACTTATTTTTTCCAATATGCAATTTCTTTCTCAGAAACCGAGCCGACACATTTCTTTGTGACACTAATGCAGCTCTGTAAAGCTGCCTTATATATTTATGCCCTCCTTTATAATACGTGTCGTGAGATCTGTGCTGTGGCCGGGCTCACGCAGAGCACCAGCGTGGGGCCACATGCCCTGCAAGCTCAGTGGCCACCACTATGTGGTTGCACCACCACCTTCCTACTGCATTAGGGTCACAGATGACCAGGTGAGGCTTTGGGGCATTAGCCCAGAGGGAGCAGCATGGTGCTGGGCAGCACAAGGGCTAGTGACCACCCGTGCCTGGCTGCCCCCATGTTCACAGCTGTGAGCAGTGGGGTTTGAGCGAGCCCCTCTCCATGACCTATTTGTTCTTGCCCACACCACGGGCCTGCACTGCGTCCTGAGGAGCAGATCGTGCTACTTGAAGGCCCTTTATTTTTAGCCAGCCCAGTTTTCTTGTCACAGCTTGGTGGGCGCTGCTCTTTTCAGTTCAGCTCCGCCGCAGCTCGCTCTCCTCTTGTGCCGTTCCCCGGCGCTCTTTGTACATCTCTCACGCACTCAGTGGGTTTCCTATCCCCTTTTCTCCAGGTTTCATTCCTCCTCCTTTGTGTTCTCCTCTCCCACCGCTCCAGATCCATGGCTTAACTCCGAGCTGCCTCTGCCTCTGGCTTGCAGCGGGGCTGTTAGGATCCCAGCACCCCGCTGCAAACCAAGCCTTCCCTCCGATAACCTGGGCTGTGCTTCCCCGCGCCGCAAATGTCAGGAAAATTAGAAATGGTGCTCTAGCCTCCTGGAAATCAATAGCTGCCTGCTCAGCCTGGCTCAGCCCTGCTCTTTCTCCCCTCACCCAGGTGAGGAGGGAGCAGCTGTTACACTGAACTCACCAGCAGAGAGGTATTGATACGGCTCCTCCAGCCCAGGCAGCTCAACGGTGACATTTACTTTTCCCAGCCCCTCCACATAGCCCAGGGCAGCGACCTGTACTGAGTTGGAGCAGTGAGGGCTGGGCTCGGAAATCAGGATCAGGACGACATTTTCTACCTGTGACCACAGAGCAGGATTCAAAGTCGCTGTTGGACCTGGGTGGCTGCAAAGCCAACGCTCACTTTGGTTTCTGCAGGGCTCAGTCCCAGCAAGGGGCATGTGCACTCCCCATCAGATGCTGTGGCTCCAAGACAAAAAGAAATTCATTATGAGGCCTGCAGGCTACACTGCAGGCTGCCTTTAACATTTCCTGGGCTACCACAAGCAGGCATAATGTGGTTGAAGGAGCAGGAACCATTCTCAGGTCCTGCTTCTTGGACATCTTGGTGGTGATATTAATTTAAATTTAAAATACAGATACTGTTGGAAGCCGAACAGCATCACCTTTTCATCTGTATGAAGCATTGCACAAATTGTAAAGGTTACCAGGAACTAAATCCCTGCTGAAAACCAAGCCAGCTTCTCTTTTTGTCCTTGAAAAATCTTTCTCTTGGGGCCCAGCTAATTCCAGCACCACTGGACGGGGGGAAGCGCTGTGCTGGGGGCACCGTCCCTGCCTCCCCGGCCCCCTCTTCATCAGCCTTGATTTTATTTGCCAGCTCGGCAGTAATAAGTATTGCTCTCTAATGAACCCGTGATTACATGGAAATTGAAGTGTGAGAGTGAAAAGAAATGAGGCAATTGAGAGGCGTGATTCTGCTGCCTGAGCCCTCTTCCTGCTGCTAGCGTCACCCCAATGACCAATATAAATGATGCCAAACCAGTCTATTTCCTAATCCCTGCTGTTGGTAGACAGCAAAGGAGTCACGTATATATCTATTTCCCTCTGAATGGCTTTATTTGGACTTTCACATACTCCCTACTTTTATTTTTGGTGCCTTATTAACAACAACAACAATAAAATAAGTGCAGTAAGGACCTTTTTTTGATGATACATGAGCCAAGAATAGATTCCAGCTCCTTTTACCATTTTGGCATCGAAATGCCAAGAGGGATGAGGCATCCTGTAGTAAACACTGCTCGTTTTGATGTGGCAACTAGAAAATATGGTCACAAGTTAGGGAGGAGAACAGTTGAGCCAGAGGATCTGTGTTTTGCGTGGTCGTATTGTTGGACCTGTGCAGGGCTGGGAAAGGACACATTCCCATCCAGTAAAGCACTAGAGTGGTGTCCTATCTACTGCAGCTTTATGGCAGCCCATTCCCTTGACAGTGAGGTTATTCTATTTGCTGCTGAACAATCAAGGTGCAGTGCTACCTTTGCAGGATGTGCTTCTCTGCCCCAGAACTTCTTTTTCTTCCTTAGCTGCTGCCTACTTGTTCCTCAGGAAAAAGAAAGAAGAAAAAAAAAAAAAAAGAGAAGAAGGAAAAAAGCTCTGGGCTTCTTCCTCAGTGCACCTTGTGCAGACAGCAGCGTGTGCCTGGCTTGAAAGGGACATTGTGGCAGGTACACGGAGCTGAAGGTAAATAGGACTAAAAAGGACCCTGTGTCCCCACCACAGCACCTCTACCAGCCTGAGGGCTGTGCCCATCTGCTGCCAGTGCCCAGCCTGTGGACAGAACACAAATACCCACAGTCACTGCTGGGAACACGTCCTGGATTTCTTGAGCTGGAGAAAACAAATAACAACATTAAAAATGAGCCTCTTTAGCAAAGGCAAAGGTGGAGAGCTTGCAGGAGCAGGAGCATTTGCTTGGGCTGTCTGTAAGTGACAGCACTCCCCTTCCCGTAGGTCGGTACCTTCTGGGAAGCAGCTCGGTGTGAACGTAGGAAGAGCCAAATCCTTGATTTCAGATGGGAGAGGACTGTCAGAGCGGCTGCAGCGCTTGAGGGTGCAAGTACATCTGCTTCCTACTGAGATGTACTTGTCTGCTTTGCCCTCAGTGCGGTATGTGATAATAAAAGCCTCTCTCCTTCCCTCTCGAGCTCTCCCAAGACTTTGCAAACCTCCCAGCAGCACTCCCAGCTTTTCTCTCCCTGTCCCTGCCCAGCAAGGTGGAGGTGCAGGCAGGGCTGTGTGTAGGACCAGCTGCAGGGGTGTATGTGTATGGGGGCTACCCAGGGGTGTGTGCTGCAAGAGCTGAGCTCCCCAAAAGAGCCCAGCTTGCTGCTGCTCCGAAATAGCTGTCAGAGCACCGTCTGCTTCTGGGAGGGAACAATGGCAGAGCAGCATCTTCAGAGGCTTTCAAGTGTGAAAGTGCAAGCTGTGAGGATTTTTGGCATCTCTGCGAGTCACTGTAAGTATTGATACCTTTACAGCAGAGGTGCAAGAAAAATCCAGTCTGCTCACCCACCCAGGTGTGTCGGCGCAGCAAGCACTGCCATCTCGGCTCCCTACCCTCTGGCTCCCATCCCTTTTGCCACAGCGACAGCAGCAGGACCTCCCTTCCAAGCCAGCCTCATCCCCAAAACAGCTCCATCCCCAGCACCTGCTGTGGCACTGAGCACAGGGCGTGCATGCAGACAGCAGCGAGTTATTCCTGCGTGGGCTCAAAACCTGGCACCTGGGGAGATGCACGACACAGCGTGCCCCAGCTCTGCTACTTAGCCATCATTATTTGGGAATGGCTGTTCAAGTGCTGTGTTTGCTCAGGAGGGCTCTGCCTTCCCTGCCACGCTGTCGGGTGCAGTGGGTGGAAGCTGTGCTTGGCTCCGGGTCTGTCCTCAGCCATCTCCCACTTGTTCCACAAAACTTCCCGCAGCAGGAACAAGGCCTGTGCCACTTTTAAAGGAATCTGCCCAAGGACAATGTGCCTTGTTGCTGCTGTGTTAAGTTTGGTGGCTTTGCTGTCCAGCCAGACTTTTTTTCCTTATTGTCTGCAGCGCTGAACAACAAGATGTGCCTTAGAAAATAAACACAACCCACATTTACTCGTGTCATCGTTATAAAAGCAGTCAACAGTGCTATCTGCCTTGTTCCCCTCCCCAGAACACCATCTCGCTCACACATCCTTTCCTTCTTGCTCTTATTCCTCCAGTCTTTCATTAGCGTGTCTTTTCCCCTTGCATCCCTCATTATTAATTATACTTCTCTGCTGCACCCGAAGTGCAATTTCTGGTGATGCTTTATCAGCCTGCAAGGCACTGTGAGAACTGCTAACTTCCACAAATTAGCAAAAATTAAAGAATTAAAAACTAGTGAAAATGAAAGAAAAAAGGAATATTCCACCCATAAGCAAAGTAGGGACGTGAGGGAAGGTTTTCTGCTTCCTTTCTTCAGTGCTTGCCCAGAGCCTGGCTGCAGCATCTTGGCCCCATTTCCCCATCTCCCCCTGAAGCACCAGCTCCACTTGTGCCTGTTCAGCCTGTGCCCAGATGACACTGGCACTTGTGGCTTTTTACCCTAGAAGAGGAAAAATAGCAGTATCGTGGGGACACGGTGGTGACCTGAGCTGTGCAGGAGCATGTGTCGTTTGGGCAGTGATCTTGATGATGTCTTAACGTGGTGCCCCAGCAGTTCCTGTGCCAAGGCGCAGGAAGCTTATGCTGCCCCTGTTGCAGGAGCTCTTGGACACTGAGGTTTGGCTAAACCCAGGGCGAGAAGCAGGGCCTGAGGTTGAGCAGCCACTGGCCTCAACCCAACTGCTGCTGCCAGCTGCTTGCAGCCAGCCCCCGGCTCCACTAACCCACCAGCCTACGTGGGCAGGGCGCAGCCAGGGGTGGGATGCAGTTCACTCATTCCCCAACCATCAGAGCCCCCTGTGATTTGTTTAATGGCTTATTTCAGCTCCACCTACGTCAAAGGCAGAGGGCAAAGCTTTGGACACTTCTGTTCTCCCACGGAATCGGCGGACGCCAGTGACCCCAGCCCCTCTCCCCGCGGCGTTGCCCCCTCCATGCTTTTGGGGATGAGTGCATGCGGCAGGAAGGCTCTGACCCTGCTCAGCAGCGTGTTCGCCGTCTGCGGCCTCGGCCTCCTGGGCATCTCCGTCAGCACCGACTACTGGCTCTACCTGGAGGAGGGCATCGTCCAGCCCCAGAACCAGACGGCCGAAATCAAGCTGTCGCTGCATGCAGGGCTCTGGAGGGTCTGCTTCCTGGCAGGTATGGCCTCCTGCCCCAAAACATCCCCTGCTGGGGCAGCGTTTGCTGCTTGTCATGGGGAAGGGCTGGGGGAAGCTGGCTTTGGAGAGGTTTGTGCCCGTTTTGCTTCCAGAGTCAGGCACAGCCCCTGCAAGTGCTGCAGTCACCCCATGGCTGGCTGGAGCAGCCGGATGGATAAATCTGCTGTTCACTGCATGCAGGCACTGGGATGATTTGTTGCTGCAGTGCAGGACCCTGCTGCCCACGAGGCAGCAGCCCTGCAACCCCTCGCTCCCTCCATCCATCCCAGAATCTGGGCAGCTGCTCAAATCTCTTCTTTGTCCCTGTGACATTGGGATTCAGGTCAGATGAAACGTCTCCTCCGCTCGTGCTGGTTTTGATGAAGCAGTTTGGCTGAGGGGACGGAGCTGGACAAAATGCAGTGAATTGAAGTTTCAGGCTGACAGATCCAAAATGTCATGGGGTTGCAGCCACTGCTTTGGGAAGCTGGGAGGAGATGAACAAATTCATCCCAAGCTCATTGGACAGGGCAGTGTGAGAGGAAGGATTTTATTCACCATGCTGTTCAGTGTGCCATATGCACTGAAATTAATCTTAAAGGCACCCTCCCCCCCCCCATCCCGAAAACAAGCAGATACGCAGACTGCAGGCCTGACTCGGTCTCTGTTTGCTGCAGGTGAGGAGCGTGGCCGGTGCTTCACTATAGAATACGTCATGCCCATGAACATCCAGCTGACATCCGAATCCACAGTCAATGTCCTGAGTAAGTGATTCTGTGGGGTCTTTACATCCTGTAAGGCATCTAAAGGTTGTTATCTCCCAGTAAATCCCTTTGTGCCATTGCTGAACACTCTCCATCCACCCACCCATACACCCACATCGACCTGGCAGCAAGGCAGGACCCTGGGGCCCTGACCTGTCCTCTGCTCCTCTCCCACCAGAGATGATCCGCTCTGCCACCCCCTTCCCTCTGGTCAGCCTCTTCTTCATGTTCATCGGCTTCATCCTGAGCAACATCGGCCACGTCCGCCCACACCGGACCATCCTCGCCTTCGTGTCGGGGATATTCTTCATCCTGTCGGGTGAGTAGTGCTGAGCAAAGTGCTCCTCGGAAAACCCTTGGGCATGGAGGATGCTCTCTGGCTTGTGGCGAGGTGGTAACAGAAACTTCAAACTCCTCAGATAGGATGTTTCTTCACGAGCCAAGAGGGTGTTTTATTTATGTGATCATACGAGTGTTAAACAAATAGCTGTGACAGCCGAGCTCTGAAGCCAGCTCCTGGCTGTGCACAGGGAGCGTGGGAGGACACGCTCAAGCACGTAACGCTCTGACTGACATGGGAGAAGTGCCCTGGGTGAGCTCTGCGGGAAAGCAGCCTCCTTCCCTGGTTATTTCAAGCCCCCTTCCACAGTTTTACATTTTCACCTGCCACTCTGCTCCTAAAGGCAGCTGCTGCTTCACCACCTTCATCCCTGGAGTGTTTCTCACTGCCTTCCTCCGTGCTTTCTCCCCAGGTCTGTCCCTGGTGGTGGGGACTGGTCCTCTACATATCCAGCATTAATGACGAGATGCTCAACAGGACCAAGGACTCAGAAACATTCTTCAATTACAAATATGGCTGGTCGTTTGCATTCTCTGCCATCTCCTTCCTTCTCACAGAGGTACTGGTGGCTCTGGGACATCCCTGTAATGAGCTTTGTCTGTTTTAGATTTAGAGCTTAGTGATATGGTTTAGTGGAGGACTTGTTAGTGTTAGGTCAGAGGTTGGACTAGGTGATCTTGAGGTCTCTTCCAACCTCGATCATTCTGTGATTCTGTACATATAATGGGGCACATGCCTGGAGCAGTGAGGGGACGGCTGATCATGATTTGATGCGGTATGTGAAAGGAGAGGAGCAGGAGATGGGCTTGGGCCTTCACGTTTACTGTAGGGCCCTGTGTCACAGAGCAGGGGAGCAACTTTCCTCGTGAGCACTTGCGAGCCATCAGCAGGGCAAAGAGAGCCATCTGTTTTTCTTCTCTCCCCTCCAGAGCGCCGGGGTGATGTCCGTGTACCTGTTCATGAAGCGATACACCGCCGAGGACATTTACCGGCCTCACCCTGGCTTCTACCGGCCCCGCCTGAGCAACTGCTCCGACTACTCGGGGCAGTTCTTGCACCCGGATGCATGGGCACGGGGTCGCAGCCCATCGGACATCTCCAGCGAGGCGTCTCTGCAGATGAACAGCAGCTACCCAGCTCTGCTCAAGTGCCCCTGACTACGACCAGATGTCCTCGTCCCCGTGCTGAGCATCGCCTCCCCTGTGCCTCCCCGGGCCCACCAGCCAATGGTCACTGTCCTGACTCCACTCATCATTTTTAGGCCTCTCTTTCAGGGCAATTCTCTATTTATAGGAGTGTAAATATAACCATAGAGATTGGTTATATAACCAACGATGTAACCTAGGGAATTGGGATATTTTCTTTTCTTTGTTGGTCTCTTTTTTTTTTTTATTATTTATTCTTCCCTACATAACTGAAATGTCTCCAAAGCCCTCTTCTTCCAGCACTTCCCACTGAGCAAACAGCAGTTCTGCCTGAGGGACAAATCCAGGGCTGGACTCCAGAGCAGAAAAAAATAAGAATATAAAGTAGAACTAGGAAAAAAACAAGTGTATTTTTTTGGTTTAGGTAGGCTGCAAAAGTTTGTGCATTTGGCTTTCATTTAATTGTAGATTCACTGGCCTCAGCACCAGCAGGCCTATAAGATCTGTGTAAATTTCCAAGACATAGTCATCACTAGAAAAATAAGAATTTTGTCTTGATTCGATGTTTACTGGTCAATACCTCTCGTTGCTGGATATCACTTTTAACCAGGCTGCAATGGGAAATAGCCATCTTTCTCGACTATACCTCAGCAGGCTCAGATCCAAGCAGGTTGGGTTTTCTCAGTGGCCATTTGCAAAGTGTCACTTCCCCATCCCACTGCAGCCAGGGGTGCCCGTGCTGCTGGGGTGGCTCAGGCACCCACATCTCCTCCACCATCCCATTGATGAGGTCTGAAGAGTGACTGGGAGGATTTCAGTGCAGGGTTGAGTGGAAAACTACCTAAAACCTTCCCATAGGACACGTTAGGCACAGGAATTTAGGAAAATCATAGCCATCTGAGCGAGGCCCTGCAAGTTATTTCAGTGAAAGGCAAGACTCCAAACTGGTGTGAAGTGACACAGCTGAAATTAATGGCACTAGTCCACAATAGCAAAGTAGTTAGTCTATGTCTTACTTTTGCAGGAAAAAAATGCAATTTTAGCTGCTTTTTTTGTGTGTATGTGTGTGCGTATGGAACTTATTTTGAGGTTTAAGTTTTAAGCTGTCATATGATGCACTTTGGTCCTAGAAGACTGACCAGCTGCCAGGCTGAGAGCATCCATCAGACAGGGCAGGGGACAACAGCGTGGCGCTCCCTCACGTGCTCTGTGCCAGCTGCAAGCTCATCGCCTCGCAGAAGGAGCTTCCTCCAACCTTGAGTTCTGGTCTTGTTATTTTGAGCCTTTCTGAACATTTCCGTTGTGCAAAACAAAACCCTCTGGGGATTCTTGGTATATTTGAGCTGGTTTTGTCTTACTGTAATTAAAACAAATAGAATATACGCACGCATTTTTGACCTCATTTGTAGCATACTGTTTAATGAATATTTGCATTGCTTTATTATTAGTTGTTATTCACATGAACTACTCCAAAGTTGGATCCAAGTCTTGAGCAGCAGCCGCTATCTGCATTGATGCTGACACCTGTCCTGTGGACCTCGCTGTAAGAGTATATCCAGCCAGACCTCGAACATGACAATGTGTTCTCCAGTGCCTTCAGATAAGCAAGTAAAGTCATCTAGCATCTTCTACTCCTGATTTGCTAAGTTATAAAACCAGGGCAGTTTTCCGTGAATACAGTTACGCTTATCCCTATTCTTTGTACTTCCCCCACGTGTCTGTGTCCTCGTACTAAAACCATGAGCGTGCTGTGAGGGATTAGCTGCCAGGAAGGGCCAAGCGTGGGGGCACAACGTGTCCGCATGCTTCTGGTGCAGTCCCACTGCCAGTAGGAAGGATGGTTTCAGTCTAGTTTGTTTGCTGGGCTTGGTGTTACAGGCTTGACAGTGCCTCAAAGGTTTCTGCCTTTGCATATTCCTTTTGATGGGTCCCTTATATTTCATCTCATCTTGGAAGGGAGACCTTCGGCACTGCACAGATGCAGAATTACATCAGCTGCTGCCCAGGGGCACGTGGGCTGTCCCAGCTGGCTGCCTCCCCATGTGGGCACTGCTGCTCAGCGTGGTTAATCCTGCCCAGCATCCTGGGACATCCCTGTCCCGCTGTGGAGCTTTCCTTTGTAGTGATTAAATACAGAATTACTCACTTTAAAGCATCTGCCTACACAAACAGAAGGCATGGAAGAACCTCACGTGTTCCTCGAAGGCCCTAGAGGGTTTAGCAGAGCCTAGGAGCGAATTAGAAAAGTAATTATTTTAATTCGCTGAGGAGGTTGTCATCATCTGGCTCCATTTGTGAGCCTGGGAGTTCACACATTTACCTGGTGAGCATGAGCCCTTCATAAGCACAGGACTGTGGTCAGAAATTTGTCAAAAGTGGTTGTTTGCTCAGCAAATGCTGTGTTTGGATAGGAAACCTTGATCCTTGGGGAAGCCCTTGATCCTTGATCCTTGGGGTGGGTGTTGCTGCCCACATGCTGGTCGATGCCATCTCAGGGAACATGAACAAGGCATGGCTGGTGGGGCAAGTGAGCCACAGAACCTGTGGCTGGTGTGCTCCAGGGCAATAAGTGCCAAAATATAACATGAGTACCCAGGGGAGATGCCTATTCATCATTCAACCACGTCACCCTACCTTAATCTCTGTTATGCCACATCCTCAAATAATTCCACTTGCCTTGGTCTCTCTCCCACCCTAATTTCTGTGCCAGCCTCACACTGTCCTGTGTCTGTCTCTTGAACTGCAGTAAGTGAAAAGCAAAGGTTGGGGATAAGCTAGCATTTAAATTAGAGGTTTAACACCTACAGGACTGGGGTGCTTAAAGTCAAACCTCCGCTGCTGTACCCCAGCAGGATGAGCCAAACTGCTCACAGGGATGCGGGAAGGTAATTGCTCTTGTGATGTTTCGTAGAGAACTGTCTGCACTCCTTGAAGAAAAAAAATCTTATGTTTTGCATGAACAACATGGGTATCAGACCCTTTGTGCACATAGCCGTTGGTACTTGAACCATAATATTACAGCAAATTACTGGGATTAAAGGCTAAAAAAACGCCAGTGCTGCCTGATCCACACCCAGCTCACTGTGTTCCCTGCCCCTGCTGAACTCTGCAGCTTCCCCATGGAATCAGAATCCCAGGATTACATGTTTCTGGCCAGTATCTCCTGGGCAGTGGAAGCTCCCCTCTCCCAGCACACAGGCTTTGCTCCTGCCCCTTGCCACCAAGGTGTCCCTACACCCCAGGTGTAATGGGGCTCAGCAGTGAGCAGCTCAGGCAGCTGTTAGCAGAGGCCTAAAAAACCTCATTGATTTGTGGGGAGAGGATACAAGAGGTTCACTAGAGACCAGTTGTGAGCAATAATTAAGCAGCTGGGAATAACGAGGCTGTGCTGGGGCGTGCTCTGCTTCATTTGCTGCTCTAGCAGCTTATAGCTCCAGAGCTCCTTTTTGTGCAGTGGAAGAAGTATCTACATGTATGTAGATATATAAAGATGTGGCTGAAATACCCTCCGGTGCTGTTCTCTTGCACCTGCATGTGCCAGTGGACATGGAGAGCCACTGGGGAGGTTAAGGTAAGGCAGGAACTCCAAACCTGCAGGAGTGCAGACCAGGCACCCTGCTGGGCTGGCTGCTTGTGAAGCTGTTGCTATGGGGTGGGGAGGTTTGGACAAGTTTTGGAGCAGCCCAGCCCTGCTCTGATGCATGAAGTCGTTGCTGTAGCAAGCCCAGGGAGAGTGAACTCCAGCCAAACTTGCTGCTGTCTCCACAGAAGCAGGGCTGGGGACCTGAGCCCTTACATCCACATTGACCAGCCCTGAAAGGACTGTGCTGGGGTGGGTTTCAGCCAAGCTTCACTGTGGCAGGGTGAGGAGCTGGCCTGGGAACACTGTGTGCAGGTTGGAGGCTTCCAGTGGAGAAAGCCCTGCTTGTGAGCCCTTGTTCTTCTGCCTTATAAATGCTATTTGTCAGCATTGTGTATGCATTTTCCCAAACACGAGTTAGCCCCATGGGCTATTCAAGGTATGCTAAGAAATTAAATAGCCTTGTTCCTCCCTGCTGTTAGCTTGTTAATGATGCAGAACTGATGTGTGTGTGGTGGGAGCGCTGTGTGAGCAGACAAACAGCCACCCAGGTCAATAGCCCTCCACTAATAAGGGAAGAAGAAGTAATTGAGAGTATTTGTTTTTCCTTTCTTCTGTCCTTATGGGATGTATTTATTTCAGAATAAAAATAAATAAATAAAATGAGATAGGAGTCTGACATCATGCCTGACTAGAAGCAGCAGCATTTTCCTCCCCACTTTCACAGTTTCAGGGCCTCCTGCTGGGCTCTTCCATACCCCTCTGCAGCATCGCTCGCTGCACGTGATAAAGTTGTGAGATGTGGGGTGGAGAGGAGGGTGTCCCCAGCACCCTGAGTGCCCAGCAGTGCCACTTGTGCCCCGCTGTGGTCAGGGTGCTCTGCTGACCTCTCCCTCTGCACCGCAGGTCTTTTGTCTGTCACTATTGTGTGGCTATCAAACTGCACCCTGTTCCCATGGATACAGTACCTTATAGAAAGGGAAGATCTGCCTCTTTGCTTTCTTTTTGTGTAAGGTTTTATATACCTGACATTTTGGATCATGAGGACCTCAGTGGGCAGCAGTCATAATGGGCAGGCGATCACCCTGCATGTCTTTGGTTGTAAACCGGGATGCAACAATTTTAAAGGACTGGAGAGTTTGCTCCTGATGGTGTGGGATTGCTAATCACCCAGCCCTCCCCTGGGGCTGCAGGTGTGTGCCAGACCTGCAGGTCATGTTGATTTGCGGCAGGGTCCTCTGATAACCATGTCCCCAGCTCATTTTGGGTGGCACGAGGAAGAACCTTTAGGCAGTCAGCTGTGTTGGATTGTGCCACAAAGGTGAGCCCAGAGTAAACATGAAGAGGTCGTGATGCTGTCTGCATCCCTGACCTGGTTGCCAATGCTAGTGCAGGTCAGAGCAGCTCTGGTCGTGTGCCAACCTCCTCCCTTTCTCTTGTTTTCACACCACTTCATCCTTGAGCCTCTGGCCAATTCACTTTGTAGGGGGGAAAATGAATTTATTATTATCTACAGATTATTTGCAGCAGTATTTCAACCAAAAGATTAGCCCCACTTGGCTGTATTGCAGACTCCAGTCCCGAGGGCTGTACTTGATAAATATCTTGGCTCTACCAGGATGCTTTCAAGCCCTGGGCAATCTGTACCACAGTGCTCTGCAGGCTCTGTCCAGCATTTTTATTTGAACAATCTCAGAAATCCCTAAACCTCACCCCTCTCTCCACTTCCACTGAAAGGTGGATTATTCCCATGCAAGTTGTGATTTATATGCCTTGAAAATACACAATGCCAGCATTCTGGTTTATTCCCCAATAAGCCATCATTTTTGACATCAGCTCCCAATAAATCTTCTGGCTGTGATGAGATGCAGCTGCTTTTAATCTTTAATGTTCAGGCAGAATGCATTCTTTTTTTTCTGAAAGGAAAACCACGTGTGAGGGTGCAGAGGAGGTGCTGGGTGGCTCCTGCAGCTGCGTAAGCTCAGGTTGCTGTAGCTCAGGCTGCTCACAGGGCTGCACAAGCCAGCCTGTTTGCTCAAGCCAGGCTTGCTTGGTTTCTGTTTAAATTGCTCGTTTTGGAGCAAAGTCCACATTGCCCTAACTAGTACCAGTGACCATCAAGCACCTGTAAATCTGCAAATCACAGAATATCCTGAGTTGGAAGGGACCTACAAGGATCAATGAGTCCAACGCCTGGCTCCACACAGGACCACACAAAAATCAGACCATGTGTCTGAGAGCGTTGTCCAAATGTTTCTTGAACTCTGACAGGCTTGGTGCTTTGACCACATCCCTGGCGAGCCTGTCCCAGTGCCCAACCACCCTCTGGGTGCAGAACCTTTCCCTAACCCTTAACTTGACCCTCCTCTGTCCCAGCTCCGTGCTGCTCCCTCAGGTCCTGTCGCTGTCCCCAGAGAGCAGAGCTCAGCGCCAGCCCCTCCGCTCCCTGTGAGGGAGCTGCAGGCCGCCATGAGGCCTCCCCTCGGCCTGCTCTGCTCTGTGCTGAACAAACCAAGGGACCTCAGTTACTCCTCACATCTTCTACTCTAGACCCTTCACCTTCTTTGTAGCCCTGCTTTGGACACTCTCTAGTAGTTTTAAGTTCTTCTTATACTGTGGTGACCCAAACTGCACGCAGTCCTTGAGGTGAGGCTGCATGTGAGGTTCAGCGCTCTGCTGCTAACCAACGAAGTGTGCAGGCACACGCTGATGTCCCGTGGGATGTGGATCATGGCCAGAGCCAAGCAAAAGCAAAGCACTCTGCTAAGCACGTGTGTGTTGGCAAGCACCTGGCTCTGGGCT